TACTAAGAGTGCTCAGAAAGGAATTGAGTTGTTGCCACAAACTCTGATGTTCTAATTCTTATCTCGGCAATTCAAAGTCGTAAACCGTATAGCCATGTCAAACTATACATATAATCTGTTAGATCGAATAATCTAAGTTTGAAATAATAAAGATTTACACCAATAGGTTGCAAAGATATAGGAATTCGAAATTTGAGTTTGTGGCAAAAACTCAATTCCTTTGTTTGTGCGTAATAAAAATAATAACAAAGATTATAAAAAAAACAAATCTGATTCTAGAGAAACATCCACAATACGGCAGGGTAGGAAGGCCTTGTTTTCCTATTGTATATACCTTAATTAAACCAGTTTCTGAGCGGCTGTATAAATATATCACAGGAAAATGTAGGGAACTTCCATCTCTCCACAATATGCATTATATCCACATTAATCTCCACTAAACCCCACTATTTCACTAAAAGATGATAAACCATTTATATACTGACCCGTTCTGTATAGGTCTGTATGTACACTGTACAACCTGGTCTAGCTGAAAACAAGGCTGTAGGTACATCTAATAAACCGGAGTTTTATGTGTTTCCCTTACACCTTAGGTTTAACAAAGTTGATTTATGGAAATTTTATCCTGCTGACAAACATCCTTTAGAACCTTATCCTTTTCTTTCTCTAGAGTTTAATTCAGTAGACAAAAGTAAACAACTTGGCCCTAGGGTCGAAATCAAAACTTATTGATGGCGAATTAATGATTATGAGGACCATGAACCTTTCATGGATGGTGCATACAAAAAATGTGGGCTCACCCTGGGACCTGGAATTTAATCGAGTTTGGGCTATCAATAAGCAATCTTCAGATTTACAGAATTGTCTTGTTTTTGTTTCTCATTTAAACGGCGACAAAAAAGCTTGCTGGGATAAGGGCCACGCATCCCATACCCTCTTGTAAAAGTACATTCAACCTAAAGTTTCACCGCCTCCACCTTGTTGCACCGGCTATTGAGTGTCTCCTTTATATACCCAATGTCCCGGCGATACAGTACAAACTGGGACCAGAAAGGTTGATCTGGCTCGGAAATTCAAATGTACTACGGCTGCCCGTGGGACCGAAAACTAAACTGGGTTAGGCGTGCATTGGATACAAAAATATAATGCAAATCTAAATATCACAGATGAAATTTGTCTATTTAAGTTTTTTCTAAAAACTTTAAGTTTATTTAAAATAAAAGTTTCAATTTTCTCTAAAATTTTTTAAAATTTGAAGTTTATTCTAAACTGTGTAAAGTTTACAAAGTTTAAGATAAATTATAATGTTTACTTCACTTGATATCTCAAATAAGTTTTAAACTTTAATGGTTCGGCCACTGGAAAACTCTTCAGAAATATAAATATACATCAAGAGTACTCAAGTAAGTGAAACGATAAGACAGAAATATATATTTCAAGCACAATCTGATTAAATTGATTCATTAGATTTTGATTTCGGACTTTATCTTAGTTTCAAGTTTTACATCATCTTGAAGTTAAAAATATTTTGTTAAACTCAGTCAGCGATATGATTCATAAACATTGGAAAACTTTTAGATATGGTTTACAAATAATATTGATCAACCCATTTTTCTGCCATTTCTTTAATATGTAATTATTAATGCATGCAAAGATAATACCTATGTGTTTCAATAATGTTTTATATATATATATATATATATATTCATATATATTCATATAATACATATAAAATAGTTGCAGATTTTTGCCTGTAACATTATAACTTGTATGTATATTTTTAGCAATAAACTATATCTATCTTATCCTATTTTATCTTATCATATCAATCTATCTATCTATCTCTAACTTAGTATCTATCTTTGTATCTATCTAACTATATATCTATTTATCTGACTATGTATCTATCTATCTATCTATCTATCTATATATCTATCTATCAATCAATCTATTTAACTATATATCTAACTATATATCTATCTATCTATCTATCTATCTGTCTCTCTATCTATCTAACTGTATATCTATCGATCTATCTAACTATCTATCTATATGTATGTGTTGACCGTCAGGCTAAACACTGTCCTGTTTTCAGTCAAACTAAGTACAAATAATATTGATCAACCCATTTTTCTGCCATTTCTTTAATATGTAATTATTAATGCATGCAAAGATAATACCTATGTGTTTCAATAATGTTTCTTTTCCTAGCTATACTCTTCCAAAAACATGGAATAACCTTAGTCTTACTCTTAAGAGAATCTCAACTTTCAATACTTTTAAGAAGCATTTAAAAAAAGATATATTTGATTCATATAATATGTAAAAATAGGTCTTAGCTCTACTCTTTCTAATCTTTCATTTTTAGAAGGTGGGTGTTGTTCTTTAACCCCTGGTCTCTGATCCCCCCCAACTCCTGATCTGGGTTTCTCCTTACTAGTTGTATAGTCTCACACCGTCATGTGTATTATTTTAGGATATAGCATTCAAACAGCTATGCTAGCTATATCCTTTTGCTATACTAAATAGAAGAAAATATTATTTGTAACAATATTGTACATTTACATATACATGTTTTTTTTTTATTTTGTAAATTTTGTAAATTTAAAAGATATTTAGCAAACAACGTTATTATTATTATTATTATTATTATTAAGCAGCTTTTCTCTTCTCGTGCTAAAAAAAGGACGGCTCTGTTTATTTTTGAACTCTCTGATGTTATTGACATTTTGATGAGCCCAACTCTTTTTTCCAATCTAGAAAAATAATCGAATAACTTCCATATTGAGTGCAACGACAATAGATTTTACTGAATGTCTTGAAAATTCTTCAAAAGAAAATTTAAATCCAGTTTATATGTTACTTTTTATGTTTGTTTTGTACAGGGTGTCCCATATCATTTTAGATCGTCAATGGGTCTAAATTACAATTTCCCGGATTAATAAGAAAATTTAAGAAGAATAAATAATTTGAAAAATTGAATAAGACTAATATAAACATTTTCTTGCAGGAAATGCTATGTTTTTCGAATATTATATATTTATTTTGGCCTTAAAGCTTAGAGATATGGGACGCTCTGAATATCTTATTCACAAGGTGAGTTTATGTAATTGGATGTTATTTCAAAAACTGTAAAGGCACTTTTTTGTTAAATTATAAAAAATAACCAAAAGGCAAAAAATTACTATTTGAGAGATAGCTTTCTAAAAAAATTTGGTTTTTTTTGTTGATCTTAAAATATTTGTCTTAAACAAATTAAAAGTTAGTACTACGTTTAACATTGTTATTGATTCAGTTTGATTAAGATTCAATTGATATCAGTATATCATATAACCATATATCATACGGTTTTTACGTTGTATAAGTGACTTAAAAGAAATTTTTGATAACATAAAATTTAATTTAAATTTTGTTATTGTGAGTGGAAACTGGATTCTAAACTCTTCCTGAGTCCACGAAGTTGATAGTTTTGTCAAGTTTTATTATCTCCGGAAAACTTTTAACTTTTCGGTAAATAGTTGGACGACAGGGAGTTCTAATTTGAGGGGAAACAAGAGAAAGAAAAGTAATATTATCTATATATACATATATTTCATAGGGTCATGCCTGACTCACAACGGTATCCTTAAAACCTCGATCTGATCAATAAAATAGAAGATAAATCGTTTGTCTAGCTTGAAAAGTATTTAATTATGATAATTTTTCCATTGTTTCTGAAGCAAGAAATGCTCAAGCCACTTTTGCTAAGAAACCGCAAATAAAATAATAAATTATGAATGACATTTATACTATGACATGTTTACAATGACTATATGACATTTAAGGCACAGTTGTGAATACAACTTGTCACTCTTTAAATGAAGTTTTACTGAAATTCCGTTGACAGTCTTTTTATCTAATAAACGCCAAAACTCTTAAAAATGATGTCAACATTTTTTTGTGGTAATTTACATGATCCAAAGAAAGATTTTCGCCTAGTCTAAACTTACGTTTTTACCTGTTATAGTAATTAGAAATAAATTAATTCTGTCAGATCAAATATATAATCTAAGTTTAAAAGATAAAAGGTTTGCAAATAAGATATAGGGATGAGAAAATCTTAGTTTCTGACAAAGACTTATAAATTATTATAAATTATTAGAAATGTTTATAAATTATTATAAATTATTACAAATTATTATAAATGATTACAAATTATTATAAATTATTACAAATTATTATAAATTATTATAAACTATTATAAATTATTGTGAGAGAAAGAGGCGGCCGAAGGACTCTGAAAGCTTATAGTTTAAAGATGATTTTGTTTGGTTTTAATTGTATAATAAAATATAGATATACGTATAGTACATTGACTCAAAACTTTTAATGTCAGTTTGCTTTATAATACGTGGTTATATAACTTATATAATATTTCATATAATAACTATATACAAATATCATATATATCATTCTATTATGTATCATATTATATATATATATATATAAATATTGGTATCCGATTTAGCATCAGCTTGAGATAGATATGACAAAAACATCAAACTTATGACCGGATAGATAGTAGGGAAGATATAAATATGGTTATAGATATAGAGGGAAGCGATAGATTTAACAATTGATATGACCCCTTCATATATATTTGTAATTAAAGAAATCCAACCATATTATTGATTAACTTAAAGTTTCAAGTTTACGTACCAGGTACGTCCAGTATCCCTTTCATTATGAAAGTCAAGTCAAGACGAGTGCCGAGTGCCATAAATCATTTCCCCCAAACTGGATAAAATATATTCTACAAGAAAACTTTTCGAAATAATACGCCTTTCTTCTCTACTAAAAATATTAAACAAAATTAAAAACATTTTAAAGATTTTACAAATTTTTCCCCATATATAGGAAAGATAAAAGATAAAAATTTAGAACAGCATATTGGGAATTAAGCTTTTAATTTCTAGACTTTTATTGTTTTTGTCAATTTCAAATTAACTTATTTCAGATTAAAAGTTGAAAGTTTGGTTAAACGAATGCAAAGCAAACATGTTGGGTTAGGCCCCCGAGACAAGATCTAGGAAGAAGAGAAGAGAATAGAATCAGAGATGAGAGGATCCAAAGGACGGATGAAGAAATCTGATCCAGAACCAGAAATACAGATCTCATCAACATGAAGTGTCATCTGCTATACGTCACAGCTTTTGTTATAATTTTATTAACAGGTGGGAGTTTTATCTTACAACTTAAAATTTACAAGAACAGCAGAATATTTGGAAGTTGGCAAAAATATATTTTCTCTTCTCAGGAACAAGTTGTGGTTGCTCAGATCCTAAACTCTGCCCGGAGCTATGTACAGGCCCATTACAGTGTACAACTGATTGTACATCAGGGACCTGTCAAGAGGAATGTACAGGGTGTACATGTGAAGATGGATTGTACAGGGTGGAGGGGGAATGTGTTAAAAGTAAGTTAAATCTGAACCCTTGACCTATATATCTTTATATCATATAGGCAATTGACCTCTATAGTCTTGCTATTAAAGAGGATATTACAGAGGTCTACTTGAACCTTAACCTTCTTTATACCTTTATATCATATAGGTAATTGACCTCTATAGCCCTGCTATTAAAGAGGATATTATAATGGTCTACTTGAACCTTGACCTTTATACCTTAATATTAAAAATGTCAACCTTAACCTATAGAGGTATATCTAAACCCTTAATCTTTATACCTTGATATTCTAGAGGTATACCTGAACCAGCATTGTATATCTGATGCCAGCTGCCGAGCAGGTCAAGAGAACAGTGAATGCAATGGTCTACTTAGTCTCTGCCAGTGCAGACCAGGATTTAAAATATCTTCAGGTTAGGCTGCTCCTACTCAATATTCATATTTATGTTTAATAAAGAGAATAAACTAAAATCCATGGCAAAGATAACTAAATTTTATGTTTAATAAGGCAAAAGAACTTGAAATTCTCAAAAATCTAACTATAAAATTGAGGTATTCAGTTTAAGTTTCAAGTTTAAACCCATCTAAGCGCGAATGCCGCAGGTTGAAGAAATCAAAGTTTTATCTCCTGGTGAATTAATTACAAAAAAATTGAGTCTTTCCCGCAAACTCTTATTTTCTAATCCTAATATCTCTGCAACCTAATGTTGTAGACCGTAGATATTTCAATCTATAAATTTTGTTAGATAAATTAATCTAAGTTTGAAATATTAAAGGTTTAGAAGATCAGGTTGCGAAGATATAGGGATTAGAAAATTTGAGTTTGTGGCAAAGACTCAATTCCTTAAAATTTAATCTCAGCAGGATAGGTGCCCGTAACAATAAACTCATTGTAGGTATAAATGTCTTAAAATAAGATTGGAAAACGGGGTTACTCAAATACACGACTAAACGGAATATTTACGTTGTAGGGACATTTTATAGAAAGACATTTCACAAACAGACATTTCATAGATAGGACATTTCTTATTTTTCAATTTGTTTTTTAAAGAAATGTCCTATCTATGAAATGTCCTGTCTATGATATATAATATTCCTATTATTTGTTTTCTATAAAATATCTTTCTATAAAATGTACCAAAAGAAAATAATAAACGTTGCGTTGATTGTCCTGCTTTTTATTTTGGATTAGAGAACATAAAAAATAATCAGCTGAAAGAAAAAGAACATCAACCGTCTTATCTTGAATAGAGAACATTTCATGTTATTTGGGATTTTTCAAAGGAATTAAGGCTGTGCAGAAATCTTTCTTTTGTTGGTCGGAAGCATATTTGTAAAAGAAATTTTTCAGACAATGTTCAACCCGTGGAATATTTGAGATTTTTATTTTTTGGATAATATTTTGGTTTCTTTAGTAGAATTGAAGGTTCTCTTGGTAAACAGTTTTATTTGCTAAACAAAAATTGCGCAAACATAATGGAATATTGTCTAAGGAGTAAAGATCGATCCATTATTTAATTATATACATTATTCAATTCATTCAAGACCCAGTTGGATTTTTTGCCGAACCATTTCTTTAATATTTTATTCTTGAGTCAAGTTTGTGTTGTAAACCATTTGAAAATGAAACAAATCCAGGATATGTTTTCCAGGTTTCAGCTTTCAAAGAATGCCTTGACGGGCACAATAACTTGATTCTATTTCTTATATTTTACAAGAAAGGATTTAAAACCTATTTTTCTTTTTAACAGTTTTCAAAACACGTTCTTTCTGACTTTAGTCTGCGTCCGGTCTATGCCTGGTTGTTATCTGCTGTAGCTCCCCCTGGAACCAATATTGTATATTTAAGAATCTACCGGGAAATCTTCTTTCATCTCCTACCCTGCTACCCTGTCCTAAACTAAACATTTTTACCCATTTTGTCTTTTTGGAATTAATGGGACTGTAAACGTAATTTCATGTGGACCTCCATTTATAGAGGGGCATGTCAGATTCATCGGTTAATTTTTACATATTGACTTTAGTCACTCATTGATTTTATTGATTCAATTGATTTGCATACTTGATTCTTTAATTTAAATGATTCGTTTGATATTATGCATTCTTTTGATTTACAAGATATTATTTTCACCTAATTAATTCATTTTTATTTTATTCATTCCATTGATTTTGTTGATTTTTTTGATTCTTTTGATTTGAATGATTCCTTTGAGTTGCTATATAATTTTGGCCTATTTAATTCACTTGATTTTTTTCATTCCATCGATTTTTTGTCGAATTTTTTTATTTAAATGATTCATTTGATTTACTAAATAATTTTGGCTTAATTGGTTCATTTTGATTTTATTCATTCCATTAATTTTGTTGATTTTTTTATTATTTTGATTTGAATGATTTGAATGATTCCTTTGAGTTGCTAGATAATTTTTGCCTATTTAGTTCACTTGATTTTTTTCATTCCATCGATTTTTTGTCGATTTTTTTATTTAAATGATTCATTTGATTTACGAAATAATTTTGGCTTGATTGGTTCATTTGGTTTAATTCATTCCATTGATTTTATTGATTTTTTTGATTCAATGGTTCCTTTGATTTGAACAATTCTTTTTATGTTTTTATTCCTTTGATTTATTTTATTCAATTGTTTCATCTTTAAACATTTATGATTACATAAATTGTCCTAAGTCCAATCAATTCATTTGATTTCTTGTTTTTTGTTCTTTAATTTGATTTGGTTGAATTAAAGCAATATTAAAGTTTAAAAAGAAAGATAGACAAGAAACTTTAATAAAATGCTGAAGCCTGAAATGCATCGTTTTATTAAAGATTTGATAAATGGTTTGATAAATAGATTTCCTCCAAATTTTATAATGAAGATAACATGTTGAAATCAATATTTTACATCTGTTAATTTTAGACATTTCTCTAACAAACTGTCAACATTATTTTTTTTGGAATTTTCGATTTTGCAAAGGTGCAAATTATTTCTTTGTTATGTGTTATTATCTCTAGAATTTGAATTTCTCGTCATTAAATATGTATTAGCGTCACTATGTACAGTCTGAACTCGATACAGCGCACAATGGAGTTTGCTGAATACAAGTGGGGTTCGATAAGTTTTAACACACATATCTCTGTACTCAACGAACACACACAGGTTTTTAGGGTACCGTTTAAATTGGGCATTTGCCCCCTTTGCCTGGAGGGTCCTTCTAAACGGCACAGTTTCAACCATGTTTGAGTTTGAGTTTTCTATCATGAGAAACATCTTTTAGCTATTCCTAAAAGCATTTATCTATTTTGTAAATCTCATCGCTCATATATCTATCTATATATATTTACACGTTAGTTATAGCTGGGCAAACGGCTGAACCAAATTGACATTTATTAAGATATTTTATGGTATCCCGGGGCAAAAACATTGGCTAAAAAATCGGATTTTTTTTACAGATTGGATTTTTTTTCAACATTTTTACGGGCAACACCTGGCACTTCAGCTAATAATTCATAAAGGCGGAAGCCATCTGATTGGATGTATTAACGACAGACGACCAATAGGACGGATAGAGAACAGAAACGTACAATAGAAGAACTAAGTAAACCTTGATTTATAAACTACTCCCAATTCTGGATATCGATCTGTCATTCTTGATAATCAAACACAACCTTAGGTTATTTACTTCGGGTGTAAGTCCCTTTCAATGTTTGATGCTCTCTGAAAAAGAAAAAGAAATCTTTGTCTGATTGTTGATTGCAAAACAAAACAAAGTAATCATGTAATCAAGAGAATCAGTCAATCTAGAAATAGTTAAATAAAAAACATTCGAAAAAATCATTTTGTTTTAAAATTCAAATTTTCAGCCTTTGTTCCATTGTGTTAATATTCTGCGCTGGTGGTTAAAAGTTAGAATACAAAATTCAAAATATTCAAAATAAAATTTTAAATTCTGCAGAGAACGTTCTAGAATTTCAAGCCTAGTAAACATAAGATGAATAAAGAATATTAAAATATAATTGGCTTTGAAAGTTCTTGAAGTCATTTTTCTAGAAACACTTTTAGCTTTTAAACATTTTTTTCCCAGTGGCCACTTTTCATTATATTTTGCAAAGAAACAACAAAAATGTTTGAGAATTTTTCTTTTAAAATTTTTGCATTTTCAAAAATAATTTTTGGCAACATTTTTTCTAGGAAAAACTGTTGCAAAAATAATTTGGACCAGATCGGTTTAGCCAATTTGAATTTTGATGTTTATTAGACACAAACAGACAGACAATCCAAATGTATATATATATATATTTCTTTATTTTAGATTATCGAGGGAAACCAACTCTTTGCTCAGGTAAATATACATTGATACAATGTTTACCAGGAGACTATGGGAAATTTTAAAATTGCAGAATTTCCACTTTCATTTATTTGCAGAAAAAAAACATATGATTCATGTTGGCAAATCCAGCAAAGCTGAATATGTCTTTTCTATTATTATTCTTTATTGACATGTGATTCGTATTGATAGAATATTCTTGAAATTATACCGAGGGGGTCACTAAAAACTAAAAATTTTAAGAAAATGACCTGAGAGCTTTTTTTAAAAAAAAAAATTTTGGACTGTAAAATATTATTTTTTCGTTAAGTCTAATGTTTTTATGCTTACAGATGAAAATGTTTTTCTTTTTCTTGACATATATTGTTGAATATGAGATGTACTTAGTTTTACCAGACTAATAATGTTTGGCTGGACTACATACAAATCTGTAGACTTGTTTACATAGGACTGCCAAACACAGATATAACACGTTTTTTCGGGGATACAGTTCTTTGTTATTTAGTTCGAGAGATTATAGATTTTTTGCTTTCTTAGTAACTATAAATCGTTCAAAAACCAGCAACTCTGAATGTTGAAAAAAATCAACTTTTGAAACAGTGAATTTTATTATCTTGATACAAATCTCAACTAGACTAAATATCTAGACTTCTCTGAAGCTTATTCATCAAATTTTTAAACAGCGTTTACATTTTAAAGTGTCGCAACACCTTGACCTTTGGTTATACCTCACCAACTCTTTCATATTTCTTTTTGTAGCCGTAGAATTATAAAATCTAAGACTGTAACGTGCTTGATTCTAGTTTAAAAAGTGTTATTGGCAAATACTGCTCGAGCGTGCAAATATTGGTTTGCAGTTCAGGAATCCAAAGGTCTCAACCTCTCACGTTAAATTAAAGAGAATTTTGATAATTACTTCTCAGAAACTAAAATATAAAACAAGTTTTTAAAAATCAAAAATGTATATTCTAAGAGCAACAAAAAACATAAGTGAGTCAGTAATGTAAATTCAAAGCACAATGCCTTTTTTCCATAACATTAGTCTGGATCTTTAGCAAATAACTGATGATTACTTATATCCACATTAAATGAGGAGTTATGATCGTGATTTTTTTAACACACGTGAAATATTGGAATAATGATTATTTTCTGATATTAAATTAACTCTATATTTAAATAAGATACTCCAATCCCATGCAATGATTGATTGTTCCAAAACCAAAAAATTTTACATCACAAATATTTTAGATCAGTTATAAAAAAAATAAAAATGACTATATATTAAACATGTAAAATTTTAATGTTTAATGTTTATAAGAGAAGTTTAAATATATTTGTTTTTATATTTTCAGCCCAGACCCAGAGCGAGTATGAAAGTATTGGACAGGAATAATTAATTTACCATAAAAAGTCTATATTTTCCTAGTATTTATTCCCCAAGATGATTGTAATTCTTAAACCTTATATCGACATTATATTGTCTGATTTTTATGATTTTATGATAAATGCATAAAAACATAAAAAAAAAACATTTTTTAGAACAACCCTATAAAGAACACTTTTGCATCTCGATTTCTGCGTATTTTTATGTAATGGTGGATTTCCAATTTTTTTTGACCCACCTTAACCCTTCACTTGGGTCCTAAAAGTTTTTACAAAAATATTTTGCCGTATCGATTTAGCCTTATTGACTTTATCTGATACAATCAGAAAAACCAACGAACAGCTGAGCCAAATTTTCTAATGAAGGATTTTGGTCTGCTCTGCACTGAAGTCACGTGATTAGAAGAACCCAACCCTCTCTATATAATTACTTCTTGATGGAAACCAATAGTATTTATAATGTCTAAATGTGATTTCCTAAAATAATTATCTCCGAACTGTAGTTGGATATGGCAATGGTCTGTATTCTGGGAGGATTGTGCACAATGTCTATTATCATCTGTATTGTCCTCCAAATGTTCGCAAGGTGCGTAAATATAAAAAGCAATGTTTGCCAAACCCACAGATTACACAGAGGGGATAAGTAAGGTATTTTAACTCTAGCACTTTATAATCATAATTATTGTCTTATTTATCCGTATTATTTTGACCTGCTAGTTGCAACTACATGAAAGATATTGTACTCTATACGGTTTATATGAACAACCCACTGCCACAAATATCTCACACTGTCTGTGTAATCTTTGGTGGAAGCATTCGCGATCTTTAAGGTACAGCGGCTCTCATTATTAATTTTTTACATTATTAAAATCTATGTAACATTGCCGATCTATGAACATCAACTAAAGCACGATAATCGATCAAGCTCTGACAGTTTTAAGTTTGCCATTTTGGCTTGGTAATATGAAAAGTCAACAAAAAACTTATCATTGCATTTATATCTATTTTATAAAATAACAGATACCAGATAAATACAAAATGTAATACGAATATTGATTTATATGAATTTCAGCACTTCTTCTTGTTACTTTAATCTTATTTTATTCATTTCCACAAATGTTTACGATGCATTTCTTAGCTCTTATATTCAGTATCACTTTTTTCCCACTCAAATGCAACTTTTAATTCATAGAATTCCCTAATAATTTCTGTATGATCTTCGACTTCTTTTGAAATAATTTTCCTATTTTAATATCCTAAGTAAATCCCATAACGAAAAGAAAATTAAAAAATTTACCAAGACAGCCAGAGTGGCACCTTTAAAACTGCCATAAATCCTCAATTTTGGTGCCCATCGATCAGAAATAGATTTCGAAAACGTCAGGAAATCTACAAATCTATCCATGATGAGAACTGTAACATCTTAAAGGGCATTTATTTGGCACACCCTGTATATATAAGTACAGGTTTACATAAACAGAGTGAGAGCTTGTTCTTAAAATCCTAGTAACCTGCAGTTGATCTTTTTTCCATTTTTGCCAGATCATTTATAATTTATTCTTGTTTTTTTTACTATTTAATACAAATGATCAAATTTTAAATTTGAATTTTCATATTGAAAGAGTTTCCTACCCTTCTTTGTTGAAAACCCTGTCAATATATTTTAGAGCTAGGTTTGCAGATACAAGATCAATATTTAACACACCGAACCCTCGGCTCATGAACGCATCATTTGCTAGAAGTAAGTAAACATACGAAATTTAGATCTCAGATCTAAGATCTCAGATGTTAGATCTCAGATCTTAGATCTCAGATCTCAGTTCTCAGTTCTCAGATCTCAGTTCTCAAATCTCAGATCTCAGAACTCAGATCTCAGATCTCAGATCTCAGATCTCTTTGATATTTCAAAATTTCTGGGATCACCTGAACCTAACTTATAGTTAATGATTTCTGGAACCCCTGGACCTTACTTATAGTTCATGATTTCTGGGACCCCTGGACCTTACTTATAGTTCATGATTTCTGGAACCCCTGGACCTTACTTATAGTTCATGATTTCTGGGACCCCTGGGCCTTACTTATAGTTCATGATTTCTGGAACCCCTGGACCTTACTTATAGTTCATGATTTCTGGGACCCCCTGGACTTTATCTTTAGTTTATTATTTTTGGGACCCCCTGGACCATTCTTATATTTCATGATTTCTGGAACCCATGGACCTTACTTACAGTTCATGATTTCTGGGACCCCCAGGACTTTATCTTTAGTTTATCATTTTTGGGACCCCCTGGACCAATCTTATATTTCATGATTTATGGGACCCCCTGGACCATTGTTATATTTCATGATTTATGGGACCCTCTGGACCATTGTTATATTTCATGATTTATGGGACCCCCTGGACCATTGTTATATTTCATGATTTATGGGACCCCCTGACTGGACTTCACCAAATATTTACCTTTTCTTCTGAAATAAAATTTTGTTTATCTTATTGCAATTTTACAACTATATAAATTGTGCAGTTTAGACAATATTAAAATTTTTATTCTCCAGAGTTTTGTTGATTTTTCGAAACCTCTAATGTATTTTTCAACTGAAAGCCGTCAAAAAGAAAAGGAATTGCTCTAAAACATTTGAAAACTTAAACCTTAAAAAAGCTACAAACTGAAGAGTGAAGACAGAATAAAAAAATTGTAAAAAAGTGTTTTCTTGTTCACATTTTATCTAATTAATATTTCAGGAAAAAAGTAAAAGGTGACTTAAATTATTCATCTATTCAACCCTCCTCATCCTTTTNCCCCCTTCTCTGTATTATATAAAGTATTCTGTTTTAGATCCTAGGAAGAAATCTGAGCACGAATTGCCAGGTAAAAAAAATGATCAAATTAGCAATATTAAAAACAGGATCATGTTTTCACTTTAAACTAAAGTATGTTTTACGTAAGATTTCGTTCATAACTCCTCATATTTAAGAGTTATTGAGAAGAATAAAAGTGTTTTGAATTTCTAAAATATAATTAGATAAAGGAAATGAGTCTTTGTCACACATTCAAGTTTTCTAATCCTTATATCTTAGCAACTTGATGGTGCAAACCTTTGATATTTCAAACTTAGGTTTGATCTACCAGAATTCGTAATTTTAAAAAATATCTAAGGTCTACGGCATTGGGTTGCAAAAATATAGGGTCTAGAAATTCTGAGTTTGTGGAAAAGACTCAAATCCCTTGTTGTATTTATATATGTGTATATAATCAAAACTAGAGGAGCAGAGAGGTCTCAAAGTTGTAGCAGTAAAGTAGCAGAAATTTGACCCTCTCCTGCTGTCAAGTTCGCTGTGTCTTGGTGTTTTGATTAATTAAATTTTGAGAAAATTTAAATTATATGTTTGTAAGTGGAGGAAAGGTCTAAAATTGTTTTTAAAACAGATAAATCCTTTTTTTACTAATCCACCGAGATGAACTTCTGAATTCAAAAGTTTGCATTTGAGTTGTGCATAGCTTAAATTCAACCAAAATGTTTTAACTCTGTCACAACATTTTCATTTGTTAGAATGTTAAAACTATTTTGATAACTTCAAGTTTGTTTTATCAATCTTTATATTTTCCCAGACGAGTTAGCGGAAGAAAGGAAACGGAAAAAGTTTGATCGCCTGAGAGAATTAAAAATGGCGGAGGCAGAAATTCAAGAAGTTTAAATATTTTTGGTTAAGTCATAACACACGCTTCAAAATGGTTGGTCAGCTGGTTGAGAAGGTTTGGAATTTAATATTATTTTTGACTGGCTCCTCACATTACATTTTTGGTTATTGTAAAGTGTACAGTGCGAACTTAAAGTGTAAATTTTACAGTGTGAAACTATAGAGCCGGAAATTTAAGAGAGTATCGTTGAACGAAACTCCCGAGTTTTCTTAGGGGGCAGTGATTGCATAGATTTTAATTTTAAGAAGAAATCAGTGAACAAAAAGAGAATGTAAAAACCACATGAAATAATATTTCTTAACAAAAATATTGATATCTACAAAACTGCATGACCCCATTCATGAAATTCAGTTTCCTATACCGGGTTTCATGACAATTCTCTGTCTCAAGTTTCGGGCTCAGTATAATTGTACAATATACAATGTACATCTTTCTATCGCAACAAAATATTTTTGCATTTCAAAACTGGTCAATCAAACTCATTAATGAATGTCTATTAGCTGTTGTATTTTAAGAGCTGAATTGGTCTAACGTAATAAAACCGCAATTCAATAACAAATTTCAAGAATGTTTTCATATATTCAAATATTATGCATAATAGATATGTAGAGGATAGGTTACATATCTAGTTTTGGAAAATAGTGAATATATGATTAATATATTTCTCTCTAGATTTTAATCTCAGGGATACCTTTTATTTAGCCTTTTCTGCATATATATTTTAAGAATAAGACATGTGCTCTGTCTGTACAATATACGGTGTACTGCATATTGTTGTACACTGTATACTGTTACGAACAAGCCTAGTGCGGGAAAAAATTTTAACAACTCTGAAACTTCTCTTTTAAAATTCAATTCTTTATTTCAAATTCTTTTACACCATAAGAAGATTTAGAATTTGATTTATTATTTGAAAGTTAATTTCCATCACAATAGAAACCAGAGAAAATAAAATTTTGCAAATTCTACACTCGAAGTTTTAACTTGATCTAAATTCAGAAAAATTAAGAAAAATATATATGCAGATCAGGAACACAAATAAAAACATTAAAACTCTTGAGATATTTGATGTTTTTTGTCTTTTCTGGAAGCAAATTCGGTTAAAAGAATGTCTAATTTTTCCGTAGATAAAGTCATAATTGTTGACAATTGCGTTGATATCGTAAAAGAATCACGATCATCTCCACTTTATTGTAAAAATATATTATAATTACCAAGTAATAGTTAGTAAATGTTGCTTTAAGTAGTTTAATAGAATGAATGTATACATATATATATATATGATAATAATACATGTAAAATCACCAGTTTCCATGTATAATTCATGTTATAAAAATTATGATATAATCTTGTATTTAAAATATGTTTATTAGTTTTGTAAACCCTGTTGCATCCCGTAGAAAATAAAGTATATAAAAATAGTTAATATTTATTACTTGAAAAGACAGACACTTATATAAAAATGTTTAGGTTTAGGGTCTTCTGTTCATATTCCTCCGTCTGAGAACAATACTAAATAGAATAATGTAAACATAGATAAAAATCAAAAATTAATAATTTTTTTCTTCTGAAATTATGGAAAAAAGTTAATGTTATAAAAGAAAAAGAAAAAATTTTAGATTTTAATTTCCATTAGTTTTCCTAAAACTTTGTCATTTGGCAGTTTCTAGCATCTTTTTTGTTAAAAAATCCACTTAATTATAATACATTATGAACTCAACTATTTATGGAATTTTAGGGCAACAACCCAGGATGAATTTAATTATTTATTTACTCCTATTTATGATAATTTGTTGTTGTTTCCGAAAAATATATTTATTTACAAGTTTTTGCTAGAATTGGAATCATTTTTGGTTCCTCATTGTACAAACAGGTTGGGTGTCCCACGAAACATCAAGACAGTTGCAAGAGACGACTTGAAGGTCATCTTTTTTATTTTTTATTAATCTGCGGCATTCATAACAAATTGATTATAACATGTTTTCATGTTTTTGATTGGAAACCTGAAAAATATTGAAGAAAATTGACTGGAGATACAAAAACATTAGATATATCTCAAAATATTTTTTTTTCATAAATAGGGGTTTTTCTTAAAATCTAAGATCCATGAAATTCAAAATTCATTTATATGAGTTGATAAATGTATTTAAAGGGAGTGTTCACGAATAATGAAAAGGGGTAATAGGCCTAATGTGAAAAATAAGTGCTTTTGATCGCTACTAGGAGCAAATTGTTACACACGACTCATACCGAAGAACGTAGCGTTCAAACAAATTTAGAAAGTTGCAATTACAACTTGTAAAAAATCAATTTAATTCCTAACAAATCATTTAGATATTACAACCAATTGTCATCGATTATTTGTATAGTTAATATTTATTTATATAGTTAATATTTCATAATGTTTTTGATTTTTTAATAATATTTTGCTGACGCTGAATTTTCGAACATTCTTGGAAAATATGAAAATGTCGTCTTCATTATCAAAAATCCTCGAAACAGAAATAAATGTTTTCAAAAGTAACAGATCATAAAAAATTAAAAATATTATGAGATATCAACTAAATACGAATGGGTCGAAAAATAATCAATGACTATTGATTGTAATATCAGAATTAAATTGATTTTTTACGATCCGAGTTGAATATTGCAACTTCCTTAATTTGTATGAATTTGTATTTCTTCGGTGCGAGTCGTTTTTAACATTTTTTTCCTGATAAACGCAACAGATAGAAATAAGATTGGTAGCGATCAAAAGCGCTTATTTTTCACCGTAAGCCTATACCCCATTTCATTTTTTCAGAATACTCCCTTTAATCTAAACATAAAATTTACCTGTATTTGAGTTTTTTTATTGGATTAATAACAACTAAGAAAGCCAGACTATGAAGTAGAATAATAACAAGTTCTAAATATCCTTTCCAAACTTGATTTACAAAACAGTCCTCGGCCTCCCTACAATACCAAGAATTTATTTAACGAAGGGTTGGTTTATTTTTCTTTGTCTTCTATCAGTATTTGATTTTCATAGTGTAGAAATCTTTTTATTCATCTTTAAACTTTGCCTCTTTTTTATTTTACAATATTTTTGTTATTTTCCAAATTATCGATATTTTTAAAGTTTTCAATATTTATAAAATTTTCTATATTTTACATTTTACCCCCTTCAACCATATTTGACCCTCTAGAAGAAAATTCAAATATCGGATTTTGCTGGTTTATTTTTACAGAGTACGGACAATAAAAAAATATTATATTTTAATATTTAAAAAAAATTGTTGTTTATATTTGAAAATGGCGAATAAAAACCATATTATCAACATTATCTTTCGAATATGAGCTGAACCAAAAATTTAACAGCGAATTTGACATAATTTACAGTTTGAAAATTCAATTGTCGGCAAAATTATACTAGATTTTTAAAAACACAACTATTTCGCGAAATTTTCTATTTTATTTTTCAGCTTTGGACCTACCTACAGCCCATAGATAGGAGAATACAACAGAATCCAAGAAGAGTAGAATGAAGGATCGGGGTTACAGGGTTAGTCATTTCAATCTGTTCAAGCTTCTTCTTTATCTGGGCATTATTTATAATGTCGTTTAATATAAAGGGAGGAATGTTTATACTGGGTGTTTGATATAATGTCAGGGCATGGTCATTTTACCTCTATCTTTTTCTCCGGATAGTCCAGAACAAATCTACAATATATATCCGACCTTCCCTCACTACTGTAAGGGTTTATATTTGCCTCTTGTAGGTATTCCTTCATACTCTTGTTCACAACAAAATCCTAATAAAAAGATTTATTTAGGAAATTTTTTTTATTGTAAATTCGTGGATTTTTAAACCACGATACAGATATCACACTGGATATCGTCTTTTCAAGATTTAAGGGTTTTTTGTTCACAATAACCCTGAGACAGAACCCCAAAGGAGTTCCGCGCAGGCAACGTTGAATTACAAGACAAAGAGAGAGCATGTGCGTTACTTCTATGGGCCTCTGCCTCAGGTTTTCTGTAAACGAAAAACCCTTCAACCTTGAAAAGACGACATATAGTGTTTTATCTGGTTTGTTATTAATCTATGCCATTTTACATGAAACTGTCCAATATGAATACGCACAATGTTAGATTCTTAAACATGCTAGATTTAAAAGAAACAGGAAAAATTCAAAATCCTGAAAATGAATTGAGTCATTGCAACACACTCAAATCTTCTAATCCCTATATCTTTTCAACCTGTTATAGTGTAAACCTTTGAAATTTCAAATTTAGTTTATTTGATCCAGCATAATTCATATTTTGAAATATCTAAGGTTTGCGACATAGGGTTAAAAAGCTGGTAAAGGGATTAGAAAATCAAAGTCGCGGCAAAATCTAATTCCTTTACAAGAGATCTTTGGTTAGTAGCAATCTCATAAAAACTATCTGATCATTCTGGCATTCATAGACATCATTTAACTGTAAGATTAGTCTTGAAGTATTACACGAATACTTACATGAATTTTAAAAAGATCAACAACATCTTTAAATAGATCAACAACATTTTTAAATAGATCAACAACATCTTTCAATAGATCAACAACATCTTTAAATAGTTAAACAAAAATAATCAAACTGTCTCTCTAAGACCAAAAACTGCAGTTGTAAAACTTATTTCTCTCTGAGGGCACTCAAAACTAAGTTCTGTCTGTATGGCTTAGTGGATATTTTATAAGAATTTTAAACAAAAACCATATATATTGTAGAATTTAATTTTAAACAGAAACCATATATATTGTAGAATTTAATTTTAAACAGAAACCATATATATTGTAGAATTTAATTTTAAAAAGAAACCATATATATTGTAGAATTTAATTTTAAACAGAAACCATATATATTGTAGAATTTAATTTTAAGCAGAAACCATATATATTGTAGAATTTAATTTTAAACAAAAACCATATATATTGTAGAATTTAATTTTAAACAGAAACCATATATATTGTAGAATTTAATTTTAAACAAAAACCATACATATATTGTAGAATTTAATTTTAAACAAAAACCATACATATATTGTAGAATTTAATTTAAAACAAAAACCATACATATATTGTATAATTTAATTTTAAACAAAAACCATACATATATTGTATAATTTAATTTTAAACAAAAACCATACATATTGTATAATTTAATTTTAAACAAAAACCATATATATTGTAGAATTTCATTTTAAACAAAAACCATATATATTGTAGAATTTAATATTGTAGAACCAATAGATATAAAACCAGGAAAAGATCTAGGGCCGGGTTAACGTTTAAAGGTGGCTGTAAGAAAGGTATCTTACGTAGATTTAGCAATACGGCCCTGCAAGCTCTGACTTTTGATCAAAATGTAAACATAAATTTTTCACTTTTTCTCTTTTACACTTTTTGTTTGTGGATATTAAATATCATAATTAAATATTAAATGACAACTCTAGTGAAAGATTGATGAATTACAGATAGGGTTTCCAACGAACAAAAACTTTCGCGAAAAAATGCGAAAATTAAAAGTTTTCGCATTTTTTTTGCGAAATTTTCGCTTTTTTTGCGAAGTTTTCGTATTTTTTCGCGAAAGAGATAAAAGCGAAATTTCGCAAAATACGATTTCTTCTTTTCGCCGGAAACCCTAATTATAGACCGAATGAATTCAAATTGAAGGTACTGAAAGCATCAATTAATCCAGAAATAACTTTTTATTAAGAATATAAAGGATATCTCCTTTATTCTTGATCCGACAGAGGATAAAAGGTTATGGTTGTGAATAGGACATGCCACTATTTTAATGTATCAGCACTTGAAATAAAGTAAAAACCTGATGTGAAGGGAAATCTGAACTAGGTAGACTAGTACTACGCTCAGGTCTCTCAGATCCTTCTAGATCTATATTTCGTGTTATTTTAGATCCTCCTTCCCTTAAAAGAAAACAGAGAATTAGTCAAATTTATAACAAAATAGGAATTTATGTAGTTTAGCTAGTGACTACTCGTTCTACTACAGCATAACACATATGACTGTGGAATTTATGTGGTTTAGCTAGTGACCACTCGTTCTACTACAGCATAACGCATATGACTGTGGAATTTATGTAGTTTAGCTAGTGACCACTCGTTCTACTACAGCATAACGCATATGACTATGAAATTTATGTAGTTTAGCTAATGACCACTCGTTCTACTACAGCATAACGCATATGACTATGGAATTTATGTAGTTTAGCTAATGACCACTCGTTCTACTACAGCATAACGCATATGACTATGGAATTTATGTAGTTTAGCTAGTGACCACTCGTTCCACAACAGAAGGACGAATATAACTGTGGAATTTATGTGGTTTAGCTAATGACCACTCGTTCCACTACAGAAGGACGAATATAACTGTGGAATTTATGTGGTTTAGCTAGTGACCACTCGTTCCACTACAGCAGGACTAATATAACTGTGGAATTAAATAGTTTAGCTAGTGACCACTCGTTCCACAACAGAAGGACTAATATAACTGTGGAATTTATATAGTTTAGCTAGCGACCACTCGTTCCACAACAGAAGGACGAATATAACTGTGGAATTTATTTAGTTTAGCTAGTGACCACTCTTTCCACTACAGCAGTACGAATGTAACTATGGAATTTATGTAGTTTAGCTAGTGACCACTCGTTCCACTGCAGCAGGACGAATATAACTGTGGAATTTATTTAGTTTAGCTAGTAACCACTCTTTCCACTACAGCAGTACGAATATAACTATGGAATTTATGTAGTTTAGCTAGTGACCACTCGTTCCATTACAGCAGGACAAATATAACTGTGGATTTATGTAGTTTCGCTAGTGACCACTCGTTCCACTACAGCAGGTATGTGGAATTTATGTAGTTTAGCTAGCGACCACTCGTTAAACTACAGCAGGACTAATATAACTGTGGAATTTATGTGGTTTAGCTAGTGACCACTCGTTCCACTGCAGCAGGACGAATATAACTGTGGAATTTATTTAGTTTAGCTAGTAACCACTCTTTCCACTGTCGGAGCTGTTACTAGTTTAACTGTCCTAACATGACTGAATACCGGGAGGGAGCTGGGATGAGCGGAGATTCGACATGTGGGCACTACATGAGGAGGAAATGGATTTGAGTACACATACATCTAGAGAAAAGGCTGGGGCATTTGAGTCGGAAAAATCGTCTTCCTTATATTTCGAATTAATTTTAACAATGGAATTTATGTAGTTTAGCTAGTGACCACTCGTTCCACTACAGAAGGACGAATATAACTGTGGAATTAGGAAGAAGTCATTAAAGCAATGATCATATGTCTATTGAATGTCGATTAAGAAAATAGTTGAACTCCTTTCTTCAACGTAAACTGATTAATTGAAATGGGTCTGTGTACATTGCGCACTTTCTGTGTTCCATTTTTTAAATGTTTATCAAAGCCTATTCAAAATTAAAATACAAGTCAAAAAGCCATCTTCCAATTCCAGAGTTATATACATCCCACATCATCCAATATTCTTCTCAATTTCAACCCTTTTTCAAAGAAATCCCCAAAAATGTTAACATCTAGGTTTTGTTTTCGATAAGATTGGAAAAATTGTGTCGAATTTAAACACATGTTAAAGAAAAATGAGTGAACCATGACATAGAACAAGACGTGGATATATGTAAATATACATTTCCCAAAATGAAGGTTGCAAAGGTTATATATTTTGGAGTTTAACTAATGCCATAAAATATGATTTCTTGCCACAAACTCAAATTTTCTAATCCTTTAATATTTTAAACTTTGACTATTTTTACTATACAATTTTATAAATTAAAATATCAGGTTAAAAAGATACAGCGATTGTTGTGCTCAGTTTCTGTTTAACCAGTTCAGATTATAATTGTTTTACATTTGAATAATATTTTTTGCGTGATAAAAATTCAACTACGAATTATCTACCTCTTAAAGTTTTTTATGATTTTATCTAAAATTATAATTAAAAAAATGATATTTCAAATTTTAACTTTTTTGAATACCTTGTCATTGCAGAGCGGGCTCGTCTCATGGTTTCACTCCCAGAACTATCTTTTATCTTAAAAATGAAAACTATGAAATAAATCGACAACCTTTAATTTTATTTTTTACCGGTCGAATTCGTTTGTAGCAAAGTGAAGTGCTGGGTCTTGTATTTTCGTTGTTACTCTTAGAGTATTTTTCAGGATCAATCTAAACAGATATTTTTGCGCCTTTCATTGGTACAAAAGTTGAAAGTTTAAAAAAAATGATCTTAGTAGACAAAGAAATTGAGTCTTTTTCACAAACCTTTATTTTCTAATTTATATATTGTTATCACCCAATGTCATAAATCTTAGCTTGAAATATAAATGGATTATACCATGCATCTGGTTTCAAAGATATAGGGATTGAAAAACTTGAGTTTGTTGAAATGACCAACATGATGTTCATTCAAAATTTACTTTGTTTTTTATTTGGATAGAGTTATTAATATTATCTTAGAAAAAAGTTAAAGTTAAGAAAAAAGTAAACGTGTTTTAATATTTATTTGATCGGAGAAGAGGGAAAAGAGGGGGATTTAAAACTTGAAGTTTATTAATTAATTGATAGATCACTCCTTTAAGCATAAAAGTTTTTACACAAATTCTGTAATTTTTTGTCTTTGTCGTGTTTGAATTTGTTTAATTTATAAAAAACAATATGGATTTCTTTTACAAAAATCACTTCTTAAATAATCCACAAATTTATTAATGAGCAACCATGGTTTTAAAAACTTTGCTACCTGTCCAATCCTATCAAAAAGGCTTGATTGGCTCATCGAGTATCCGACTACAGCTTTAAAATTACTCTGCAATATAAAATATTACTCTGCAATATGAAATATTACACAGTGCACTGCAATATAAATATTACTCTGCAATATAAAATATTACTCTGAAATATGAAATATTACACAGTACACTGCAATATAAATATTACTCTGCAATATAAAATATTACTCTGCAATATGAAATATTACTCTACAATATGAAATATTACTCTGCAGAAATATTACTCTACAATATGAAATATTACTCTGCAGTGTGAAATATTACTCTGCAATATGAAATATTACTCTGCAATATGAAATATTAATCTGTAATATGAAATATTACTCTGCAATATGAAATATTACTCTGCAATATGAAATATTACTCTGCAATATGAAATATTACTCTGCAATATGAAATATTACTCTGCAATATGAAATACTACTCACTCTGCAATACGAAATATTAATCTGTAATATGAAATATTACTCTGCAATATAACACATTACTCTGCAATATGAAATATTACTCTGCAAAAAAACTACTCTGTAATATAAAAATATTACTCTACTCTATTCGGCTTATGAAACTTTCCACGCGAAAAAATTGCACGCAAAGCTCTATGAAATTTATAATCCCCCTCCCCCCGTTTCTAGTTCTAATTAAAAATTATGCCTTTCAACAGTTTCAGTAAAATAAGATTCTTCTAGAAATCCTATTGTAACATTATTTCTATAAGAAGCCTCTCTCCGAAATTCTAAATTTATGACGTTATATTTTCCTCCAGACTCCTTCTTTGCTATTGATTAAATTAGCTTGTCTCCTCATGTACAAAATTGATAAAATATTTAACCTTTTCCTTATTTACGGATATCGAGAAGATCAAGGAGATATTGAATAGAATGAGGGGGCGATAGGGCTTCCGTACACTTTGCTGTGACGTTTTTGGACTGCTGAAGAACTAGTTTTTGCGTAACAACAATAATAAAGATTGTAAACAATAACACAAATGATAAACAGACATCTGGCATCTCTGGCGTGTTTATAAAGAGGGGAGGGGGCGGGATAACGTTGAGTTTTATTGAAAATATCGCTGTAATAAGGTCCTTTTCGTATAAAACTAAAATCCTTAACTTTTTCGATCTTTTTTATCATGATAATACTACTTTCACAGTTTATTAACTCATGTTTGTTTACATTAGATAGGCTGCCTTTGTTATTGTTGTTACGCAAAAAATAGTTCTTCAACAGTCCAAAAGCGTCACAGCAAAGTGTACGGAAACCCTATCGCCTCCTCCTTCTATTCAATATCTCCTTGGAGAAGATCAAGTCAAGGTTAGTAATAGAAAGAACACGAAGCGCCCCGAATTCCCGAATTTAGAATATTTCTGAAATTCTTGATAATGGCTAATTACCTTTAAAGCTGCCGGATGATGTTTTGTATAGACATTCCTAGACCTATAATAAAATGTTTAGTATAAAAAATCCTAGACTGGAATAAAATGTTTAGTATCAACATACTAGACCTAGAATAAAATGTTTAGTATAAACAATTATAGACCTAGAATGAAATGTTTATTATAAACAATTATAGTCCTAGAATAAAATGTTTAGTATAAACAATTATAGACCTAGAATGAAATGTTTATTATAAACAATTATAGTCCTAGAATAAAATGTTTAGTATTAACAATACTAGACCTAGAATAAAATGTTTATTATAAACAATTATAGTCCTAGAATAAAATGTTTAGTATAAACATTCCTAGACCTAGAATAAAATGTTTATTATAAACATTCCTAGACCTAGAATAAAATGTTTAGTATAAACATTCCTAGACCTAGAATAAAATGTTTAGTATACATTCCTAGACCTAGAATAAGATAATTGGATATGATCAGATAATATTTGTTTGTTAGTACTCAGTAACGATCTACACTTTTCTGGTTTTGGAGATCTTTTCGGAGATGGACTCAACTATCATGTCTACGCGGTCACACCCTGTAAGGGTATCAAATACAAAAGTTCAGCACTCGGCATACACAACTTGTTATCATTTAGTTGGTTTCTAATGATTTAGAATAAGTCTTTTAATACCAAATTACCTTGTTGAATTGGTAAATGTCTCGTCACTTTGACTGGGAGTATACGGACTTTCAGTTTGGATTGCTTCAGCCTCAGGCCATACATTAGAGCCAGGGATTAGGGGTCCAGGGACTCCTGACGGTCCAGGGACTCCAGATCGTCCGTGGACTGTTGTATTAAAAAAACATATGTATTATATTGTACATGTATATTTTACTCAAAGTGCAGTGATTCATTATGCTGCGAAGTTCAACGTGACTCTGCATTTACAAAGTAACATGTCTAATTACCAGAGTAACATGTCTAATTACCAGAGTAAAATGTCCAATTACCAGAGTAAAATGTCTAATTACCAGAGAAAAATGTCTAATTACCATCCCATACCATGTGAAATATCCTTGTGTCTCTAGCTGACGACTAATTATTTTCAATCGTGGTTTCTCTACAAAATTGTATTACAGAATTATACTGCAGAGACAATGATGGAAATTGTCAGAATTGTCACGTTTTAAAGTAGATTCCCTATTGTTCCTCAGATTTTGTTAACCTGAGTTCATTTCATTTAAATAATTAAACTAACCTGGAACCTCCTGAAGTTCCATACCCTTCAACCCATTAATCTTAACAACAAAAATATTTTTTTTTAAATAACATTTATTAAATTTTAAACTTTAGAAAATTGTTTTGAATCGCTTCAAAAAAGATAAAAAATTCAGAGATTTTTCAGAATAATAAATAAATAAATAAATAAATACAAATAAATTAGTTTACCCTGAGAAAACTAATTGAAATTAAAAAAATTAAAGAATAATTTTTTATATAAAAAGTAAAATCGAAATATTTGAAAGATTTACTTTTCATGAATCATGAATGCTGGCACTATTTAACGGTAGTGTGATTCCAAACAAAAATAAAAATAATAACAAATGATAAACTTTGTGATGAAGTTCAGGGTTCAGTTTTTTTCTTTATATAATACAGATCTGTGTTTTATTGCGCTAGTTTTTTTTTAATAGCTTTGGGGGTTAAATGAGGAACGATGTTACACGGAGTAATAAGTAAATTTATTTTAAGAAAAAAAATTAGTTTTTTTTACTTTCTGAATCTGCGTCTACAATCCCTTTAAATCTTACATCAAGTTGATCCAAGGCTACTCCACTAGTCCGCCTCTGTGCTGTTTGAGAACGTGGTTGAAACTTTTTGAATATTTTTGTATTGTTTGAACCCTCCTCCAGGTTTAGAACACAATTTCAATCTTCAGAAATGGAAACTTTTGAATGAATTTGTTTTTGACTAGTAAACTATTTTACCCAACATTTTAATTATATGAAATCATTGTCATTCATGTTTAACACCTATGATTTATTATAGGTTTGAAATATATCTACTTAATGATTATTGGAGACTTCTGTGTCCGAGTTGAGGAGCCTAACCAATGAACCAACCTAACCAATAAACCGATATAACCAATGAACCAACCTAACCAATAAACCTATTAGCCAAGTAACCAACCAGACTATTAGTCTATTAACCACCGACGCCTGAGCGGCCTGATACAACGATATAGCTAACTATAATTTTTCCGTTGAATGCCATAGAGGTTTTCTACAGTGTATAAGTCTAGTTCAGTCCCTAATCTGAATATCCATGCAAACCTATTTGTGTTGTTAATCAACAAAGTTACGCGTTTTGGACCAAAAATAGCCTAATTTGCTATTTTTTTACTGTTCAGTACATTGTCCATTAAAAATGAATACGAAAAGGAAAACTTCCCTTGATCTTAAGAATTTAAACAATGAATTAATAAGCAACAAATTATTAATTACACTTGCAAATAATGCATTTTGAATACGTTTAGATAACAGATATGCAAACACAATGCATAGAATAATACCACACAATAAATTTGCAGAAAATTTAATATTTCCACACCATTTAATATAATATACGCATCTACTTATACTTTATACATATATACTTAGTTAATAAAATATGCTTAAAGTTAGTAAATTATTTTTATAAAATTCTTTTTATTTTTGTGTTCTTTCCTTGACTGAATACACAATCATCCGGGTTTTCGGATAGATTTTCCTGAAAAGAAAATTTTAGATATTTTTCAAAAGCTTCATTTTTTATATGTTGATTATTGTTTAAAATAAAGTTGTGTTCCGAGTTAAGGTAAAAATATTCTCCATAAAAACTTTTCTTGAATTGAAGTTGGTTGCTTTTCTGAATTCAAAAAAAATTAGAAAAAAATTAGAAAAAAAACTTGACTTGTCTTTATACTTTTCTTGTGTATCGCTAGGTCTAGTATCTGATATAAAGGCTGCTCTAATATTTATAAATCCTGCCACCAGCATTATAGCTACACGACAACCCATCAACAACAGGGTATCTTCACTCTCCTAATCAAACAAGAATATTTTAGGGGGGAAATATAAACAGGAAAACTAGGAAAAAAGGGAAAAAGAAAAGAAAAGGGAAATTAAAAAGAAAGTTAAAGGAATAAGAGCGACAAAGAAAGAGGGGAAGGATAGGAAAACTGCAGTGAGGGAAAATGAAAATAGGAGGGGGCAATTAGAAGAGAAAGAAAAAGAAAGAGGAGAAGAGAAGAGAAGGATAAAGGAAAGAGAAGAGAAATGGTGAAAAAAGGGGGAAGTTGAAGAGAAAAGAAAATGAGAAGGAAGGGAGATTAATAAGAGAATTTTAAAAAAGAGGAGAATTGAAAAGAAACCGTAAAGAAAAGTATAAAAAAAGGAATAGATTTGTTTAGAAAATGGAAAAGAGAATTAAAAAGGCCCTTGGAAGGAGAATAAAGAGGAAAAAGATGATAAAAAATGATAAAGAAAATGAAGAGTCTTGGGAAATAAGAAATAAGATCAAAAGCGAAAAAGAGAAGAGAAGGAAAGAAAAGAAGAAAATAAGTTTATAAAAAGATCAATGAACATATACAATACACCGTTACAACATGGGATCATTTTTCAGAACATAGTAAAGAATTAAATGTAAAACAAGTGGGAAAATATTTCTCATTACCTCTTTAAACATGGTTGGAACGTCATCACAGCAGGCTGGAAGAATACAGGATATTGAAGATAAAAACCAGTTTTCAACTGTAATAACACATTTATTAGTTTTTGTAATTCATATTCCACAAATAAACAACGTACATGCATTGCTTGCATGGGTGGATTTCCACAAAAAAGAATTTAACATTTTTTTACCTTTGCTTCGCCTAAAACTTCTGATATTAAATTTATATTCATTAAAGTGAAAGGATTAAAGTCGACATTAGGATGTATTACATAAAGATTTTAGCAAGAGATTTAAAACAATTTTTCCAGTAAAACTGAATCGGCTCAGCCGTGTTAATGTTTTATGTTTATTATTCGCAAACAAACCAACACTCACGTGGGCAAACAAAGCTATATCACGTAAAACTAATTAAAACTAATTACATTCTTTTTGTTGTTTTAGAATATTTTTATTCCTATCTTCATCTCTCAATTAAAATCCGTGAAAATTAGCGAAAGAGCCCTTATACACTAAAATATTTTACTTATTTATCTCATTCTCAACAAAAAAAGTTAGCAAATAAAAACAGTCTTTACAAATTCCGCCCGAAGAGAACTGGTTTCAATATGTACGCAGAGTTTACACGACCGCAATTAACTTTCCTTGAATTACACCCTTGGTCAAAATGATGTAAATTTCCGTTAACATTAAAATCTCAAAGAGACTGTACGCGCAATTTCAAGTGATCCTCTATGCAAAGATTGCAATGACCGATTTACAACAATACCCATTTAACCTTTAACTAATAAAACATGTGGAAGATAACTTCATTTTACTGACTCAAAAAGTGTTTAATTCAGATCATTTCTCCATTGCTTCTTATAAAAAAGTCATTTGCGCAACTCCCACTTGATTAGAGAAAGCTTTTAATTAGTACTGTTCTAAATCTGGCATTGCCATCTTTGTAAGGAGGGTGACTTGAAATTAGCTTTACAGTCCCTTTAAATGTGTTCACTCATAACTCTAATAATCTTTATTGGGTACTTTGTGAAGAGCTAATAAGAGGAATAAGCTAGTTTTTTATTTCTAATATGCAGCCAAAAATTCTTTTTCCTAATTGGGTGTAAAATCAAAACTGAGGAGCTTATGATAATATAACTGGATCACAGGAAGTTATCTTTTATGTGCGTTAAATAACAATGTGAACCCTGTAAAATTCCTTTTCAATTTTTTTGATCTTTTAGAAAAGCACATAATTTTGTATGTAATAAAGAGTCAAAAAGAGTATAAAATGTTTATATTTTGGCCTATATATGTAAAGCATGTAATGTTCTTGCAAATGTCAACATATGATCTTTAACATTGTTTTTTATCTTTCATATCGGTTTATGATCTAATTTAAAAAAATATGATCTTTCATAGTAGTGTAATGATCAATGTTACCGAAGAGCTGTCCGAAGATCATGAGGATTATTCCCCAAGTTTCAAAGGTCAGGATGAATCCGAAGAAGAAGGTGTAGAAGAAACAAAGATTCATGTTGGGGCCCTGATAATAATTACAACAATTCTTTTCCAGAATATTGATATTTTAAATATTTTATCTTGATATTTACTAGTAAAATATGTAGTTTTTATCTTGATATTTACTAGTAAAACATGTAGTTTTTATCTTGATATTTACTAGTAAAATATGTAGTTTTTATCTTGATATTTACTAGTAAAATATGTAGTTTTATCTTCATGAATAAGATTAAAATGAATGTTTTAAAAAATCAATTATTAAATCCATTATTTTGAACATCACATATTTGTATCTAAAATTTAATTTTTTAATCCTGTTATTCAGCTTATTAGTCCATGGTTGTTTATTTCTTGGAAAACGGCAAAACATGCTATTTTACAAACTATTGTAAAAATGCTAAAGTTATTTAAACTAAACTAATTTTTAAATGTAGATGAACAGATTTCCATTGTAATGACTACGATGACAATCCCTCTGTATGTATTGTATATTGTGAAATATATAGAATACCACAAGAAGAAGAATATGCAGTATTAGAACTGTAGTTCTTGCAACCAGTTGAATAGACCTAAAATAGGAAAGTTATCAGAATTTTTCTTTTATGGATCAGTTTACCCTGATAGCTGAGATTAGAATCTTTAAACTGAAAGAAAATACCGCATCATTAGGCTTTTAATTATCTTTTACCAAATTGTTTACCATTTTTGGGGATTAGGAGTCTAAGTCTAAGTTCTGAACAAGTCAGGGGTTAAACTAAACTTGATCCCAAACTTATTAAATCATAAACATGAGTTATATGATTAACCAAACGCTGTATAATTTTGCAGAGAATCTTGATCATTTGATTGAACATTATGAGAAACTGAATAGTTTTCTCAGAGTTAATTATTAGACTCGTCGATTACGGTGCGTTAAATATTTAGATCAAAGTTAAGGTCTTAAAACTGAAATTAACATTTAAGTCGTAGCTTTTCGTTCTTTAGTTTTGGACTCAGGTCCGTAATAATAATCGCATTGACAAAGGAATTGAGTCTTTGTCACAAACTCAGATTTTATAATCCTTATATCTTTGGATTCCAACGTCGTAAACCTTTGAAATTTCAAATTCTGACTTCTGTTAGATCAAATAATATAAGTTTGAAATATCAAAGGTTTACAACATTGGGTTTCAAAGGTAAAGGGATTATAAAATCTGAGTTTGTGACAAAGAATCCATTCCTTTGGGGGGTTGGAAAAAGTCCTCTTAAACAAATTGTTTTAAACCTAACTGGGCTAATTAAAATCCTTTGTTCATATCATCCTATTAACTAAACAGTACTATATAGGTACGTAAATTCATTAAATATAATTAAACCTGATCAGAACAAGGGAAATATTGAGGAAAGTCCTAAAAAATATATATATTTATATAAAATTTGATTAAGAAAAATATTAAAATATATTTTAGATTTCTACCTAAATTCTTCATGGCTGAGTACTGCAACAACAAATAATAAATCTAAACAAAGAATATTTGTATCTTATTAGAATTGTTCAATTGTTATATTTTCAATGTTTCTATTTCCACTGAATAATTGCTTTGTGTCTTTACCTTACAAATTTGTCAACTGAGAAAATAATATTTAGTAAAAAAAAATCCTCAAAAACTCCAATTATTTCAGATTGGTTGAATTCTACTGTTTTCCTCGAATCGTTTTGACCAATTTAAAGGGGAATGTTCACGAAAAATAAAAGTCATCACATCTAAAAATCTATTAGTCAGATATCGAATTTAAACCAAAATTACATCTTATCGCTTCAGTAATTTATTCTAGTTTTTATTATTGAAATACTAAAAGTATAAATGGTAACAGTTTTGAGGATTTTGTATAAAATATAACGAAATAAATTGTCTAACTTTTCTTTTCACGGTAATTATTAATTTTAAAGAAGGTTCAACAGTTTTATTGACTTTGATTTTAAGGTCATTGTGCGTTAACTAAAATAACCGGCCAAACAAATTATTTTCTTCAAATTATCCAAATCCGCAAAAAAAATATGGAAGGAGAAGAAAAAATTGTTTAGCTTCATCTTAAGAAAAAATTTGAAAAACATTATTTTTGATATGATTGGAGTAAACCCAACTCTTTTCAAATAATTCAGAATCCATTTTGTATTGATTTAATAATTTTAGGCGTAATTTGAATCCATAAATATTTAACTTTTTGATCCGCCGATATAATTTTATATTTTCACGAAAACTTCCTTTATATTATATCAAAGAAACTAATATTTGGATTAAATGACTAATATATATTAAAAAGTTGTAAAATATTTATATGCTTTACCTCCTAGAAGAGAAGGAAACCAGGCTAGGATATGAATAGTGACCCACGCCGGAATGTTCCAGGTTTCCAGAATACCAGACATAAACTAGGAAAAGGTTTTTAGAATACCAGACATAAACTAGGAAAAGGTTTTTAGAATACCAGACATAAACTAAGAAAAGGTTCTCAGAATACCAGACATAAACTATGAAAAGGTTTTCAGAATATCAGACATCCCTAGATTTATTTTACCTGGAAATATCAACTTTACTTTCTAAACTGTCCTTGAGAAATATATAGTTCACAAACTTGCCGGTTTTCAGAATACCAGACATAAACTAAGAAAAGGTTCTCAGAATACCAGACATAAACTAGGAAAAGGTTTTCAGAATATCAGACATAAACTAGGAAAAGGTTTTAGAATACTAGACATAAACTAGAAAAGGTTTTAGAATACTAGACATAAAATAAGAAAGGGTTTTAGAATACCAGACATAAACTAAGAAAGGTTTTAGAATACCAGACATAAACTAGAAAAAGGTTTTAGAATACCAGACATAAACTAGAAAAAGGTTTTAGAATAGACATAAACTAAGAAAGGGTTTCAGAATACCAGACATAAACTAAGAAAGGGTTTTAGAATACCAGACATACACTAAAAAGGGTTTTAGAATACCAGACATACACTAAAAAGGGTTTTAGAATACCAGACATACACTAAAAAGGGTTTTAGAATACCAAACAAACTAGGAAAAATTAATGTTTAAAGGGACTGTTTACATATTTAAAAATACTAACGAGCTCGATCCTCTAAATAATTTTTAGATCTGTGTGATCTGAAAGGGAGCTACGCATCTCTAACACCCCTCCCCCTCCCCCCCCCATGCGCTTTAGGTTTCCATAAGTTAGAGGACTTAAAGAATAACTATATATAAAGTAATAATCTCTATATAACAAATTCAAAGTTGAGTGAGTTGACTTGTAAAGAGAAAGTTTAGTTTTTAAGCAAAGTTGGGTTCCCAAGCTAGTTTTTAATAGTAATAATGTTATACTCTTTCATCGTATAAAATTTTCCGGTTTGCTTTACAAAAAAGTTATTCAAAAAACGTACATGAGGGTATTCATTTATTTTTTTTAAATCCAAAAATAAGGAAAATAAGTACCTTGGCTTGGATTTCCGATCGGAATTTCGTTCCCCGAAATTGCGTGGAAATAATGGGCTCGCAATTGCGCGCGTAAAATCCACTTGTTTTGGAAACCCTAGCCTTGACCTATATTCCTATAATTCTTTACTTTTATTCTGAGGTAAATAACAAATCCTACCTGTTGGCATTGGTCTCCTGATGAGACATTAAGAGAGAAAACGAAGGGTTCAGAACAGTCAGATGATTTAGTAAAACTTAGATTCCAATTTTCTTCTCCTCCTTTCAACATACTTCACTGAAAATAAAACTAAAAATTCGAATCTCTAGTTGTGCTTCCCTGTTCATATTTAGCTATATATCATTAACAAAGATAACTTTCTGCTAACAGATTATCATGAAACAATAGGGACCCTTGCAAGGATCATGTTAACCATGTGTGAAGATTGATCTAATGTTATCAATATGTATAATCCCTGCAAGGATCATGTTAATCATGTATGAAGATTGATCTAATGTTATCAATATGTATGATCCCTGCAAGGATCACGTTAACCATGTATAAAGATTGATCTAATGTTATCAATATGTATGATCCCTGCAAGGATCACGTTAACCATGTATAAAGATTGATCTAATGTTATCAATATGTATGATCCTTGCAAGGATCACGTTAACCTTGTATAAAGATTGATCTAATGTTATCAATATGTATGATCCCTGCAAGGATCATGTTAACCATGTATAAAGATTATTCTAATGTTATCAATATGTATGATCCCAACAAGGATCACGTTAACCATGTATAAAGATTTATCTAATGTTATCAATATGTATGATCCCTTCAAGGATCATGTTAACCTTGTATAAAGATTTATCGAATGTTATCAATATGTATGATCCTTGCAAGGATCATGTTAACCATGTGTAAAGATTGATCTAATGAAATAAATATGTATGATATCTGCAAGAATCATGTTAACTGCAGTGAGATCTAAAAAACTGTGGAATAGGAAGACAATAACTAAGCAATCTAATAATTATTTTACGCTGTTGCACAAATATGTAGTTTACCAATTTCTTAAAAATCTATACTTTTTAATTGAACTGAAGTATTGTGTTTATTAGACTATTTTAAGTCATAACTAGAGTCTAACCTAGTTGTCTTCCCATTCCACAAATTTATGAGACTCACTGTATTTATAACGCTTGATCTAATATTTGAATATGTGTGAACCCTGTAAGAAGCTAACTAAGTTTGGTTGTGTTATTATCTGTATATTTCTCTCTCCCTGGTATCCTAGGATATAAAGGTTGCTCTTCACTATCCTCTGTCTCTAGGTCTGCCACCAAATGGTCCTCAACTAAATACAAATTAAATTCAAGATAGGATTTAATCTCACAACGGAAAAGATCCGAAATAATCAAATCTCGAATTCAAGCAAGTTGTGTTTTAGAGGCTCCGTTACTCGTAGTTTTTCTTGTTGTTCCGTTACTCGCAGATACTTTTCTTGTTGTTCCGTTACTCTCAGTTACTTTTCTTGTTGTTCCGTTACTCTCAGTTACTTTTCTTGTAGTTCCATTTCTCGTAGTTACTTGTAGTAATTAACTTTATTCCTAGTTCCATTACTTTTAGTAACTTTAATGGTAGTTCCGTTACTTGTAATTACTTTACTCATAGTTCAGTTAATTGTGTTTACTTTACTCGTAGTAATTTTACTTGCAATCCATTACTCATAGTAATTTTAATCATAGTTACTTCCACCGTAGTAACTTTACTTGTAAATACTTTACTCGTAGTTACTTTACTCGAAATCCCGTTACTTTGTTTACTTTCCTCGTAGTAACTTTACTCTACGAATCTCTGGTACAAACGCTGAATCTTATATTTGTCTAGAAACATAAAGATGTTAAACTACAAGTCAAGGTTATGTGAAATATGTAATTGAAAATATAAATGATGTGTTAAAATTTGAAAGATCATTATATATTGGATACCGTGTGTTCTATTCTGGGAGATTCGTAACACTTATAGGACTGTATACGTTGTTTCAAGGCAACCTTTACATAAGTGTAGCACGCCCCATTCACAACGTTACCAATTCATGAAAATTACGTTATTTCTTTTAGTTGCATAAAAATCTCAAGGCATTATTATAAAGAACCCTCAAGAACAATAGTTTAAAAGGTACTGTTGTGAATTGGGGACACCCATCTTTAAATGGAATTTAGCTTAAGATTACGTCTAAAGTCCTGTTATATGTCAGAAAGATATCAATTTAAATGTTTAATGCTGTTCACTAAACATTGATGTAAAAAAACGATGTTGTCACGAAAACTTTTTCTAGGAAATGAGTTTATGTTTCTGCCATCGCAAAAGATGTTTAAATGAAAAAAAATCAGTGTGTATTAAGAGAAATATCTAGAATAATTTATGGCGGCTTGTCTGTCTGTTAGTTTGTTTGTATCCAATAAACGGCTGAACTAATTGGTCCCAACTTTTCTGCAGTAGTTTACATGACAAGGCAAAAATTCGAAACCTATCCGTATTTGACGAGTTTTCTCGTACCACAGGCAACCCCGGGCAACACAGTACATTTCAGATAGATGTATATCCAATACTCCTGATACACCCTGTATCCCTGTATCCCCATGTATCCAATACTCCTCATACACCCTGTATCCCTGTATCCCCTTGTATTCAATACTCCTGATACACCCTGTATCCCTGTATCCCCATGTATCCAATACTCCTGATACACCCTGTATCCCTGTATCCCTTTGTATCCAATACTCCTTATACACCCTGTATCCCTGTATCCCCTTGTATTCAATACTCCCGATACACCCTGTATCCCTGTATCCCCATGTATCCAATACTCCTGATACACCCTGTATCCCTGTATCCCATGTATCCCACATGTTGGAGAACAAGTTGTATAATTGAAAAGTATGTTGATATACTGTAGTCTAGTTCTAGTAGTGTGTGTGTATACAGTATGGAGAAGATGGGGATGTACAGACTCATCTTTATCCTTCTCAATATACTCCTCATTCCAGGAACAGATATTTAGAAGAGAATAGTCCCATTTATTATATCCCACGGGATGACTGTGTGTACACTGTACAGTACATAAAGTTCTCACAGACGGAAATAGGTTTCTACAGTCCTTTGTGTTTAGTAACGGAAAAATAATTTACTGACAATAAATAAAAAAGAGTTTTCTGAAAGTTATAATTTGTAAACAAGGGGTAAAATCAAACCCAGGCGATATTTACTCATAAACACAATATTTGGAGTGAAAATAAAAATAATAAATTCCAACATCTTCTTAAAATTATTTTATGTTCATGGTAAAAGCATTGAGATTTTGCAACAAAATCGAATTTTCCAATATCTATATCTTCGCAACCTGATAATGTAAACCTTTGATATTTCATGCTTATACAATTTGATCTAACAGAATTCATAGTTTGAAATTTCAAAGGTCTACGACATTGGGTTGCAGAGATATAGGGTTTAGAAAATTGGATTTTGTGGCAAAAACTCAATTCCTTTTTAGATTTGACGGATTAATCGATTTTCATACAAAACCAGATAATGAAGAAAAATTTAGAATCCGGTACAGATTAGAACTTTTGTATTGGAAATCACATAATATTTTTGGTCCGAGGGATTAAATTAATTCATTTTTGAGATGTCTGAAACGTGTGCTAAAATCATCTTTCACTCGTGATTTCTTTGAATTCAAAACTCTGAAACTGTGTCATATAAATTTCAATCAGCCTAGACTTTAAAGGGTCGCATGCGCCTTGGCCTTTGATTTTACCTCGCTAACTCACTTATACAATTTTGTAACCCTAAACATATGTATTTTTATATGTTTGTTTCTATCTGAAGATTAAAAGGAGTAATTAGCAAAACACTGCTCGACTTTTGTGTGAGCGCGTACACATCTTAGTTTGGAGTCTTGTCAAGTTTATTTTCACAACCTCTCACAAAATAATGGACTTCGGGGTTTTCACATTGAATGAGAGAAGATAAATATATAAGAAATGCGATTAGAAAAATTGTAAAAAAATATGTTTCTCAAACGGTTTTTATTTAAAGTTTCCATCCCCTTGGTTGGCTGTAGTGTAGGATTATGCAAGTATAATTTATTAGTAAATATTCATCCTTATTAATTTGGATAAATTTTGGTCGAAGAATGCACTTCAATCTTTCATTTTCTCAAGAATTGTGTTCCAATCTTCAGGTTTTAAATATACTTATAAAACGTAAATATTAGATCGTTTAACAAAATGCATACAGGTCCCAGCGGTCCAGAAAAACGCATTAAAGGGACTGTATGTGTTATTTCAAGTGATATTCCATAGATGACTAGCTAGGCATGGTTTTTAAATCATAAACATTGAAAAAAAATTCAAACTGAGTTAGACAAAGTTTTTAAGGGTACAGTTGTCAATCGGACATTCCCATTTTTGGACGGAGGGTCCCATGAAATTACGCTTACAGTCCCTTTATTAATAATACCCCTGATAATACCCTAGTATTTTAAATTAGGGACATATTTCCACCAATCAACGATGTTTATGGCTGATCGTCGAAATAAAGTTACCGATTGTGTTTTTAAGTTTATTCTAAAATTAATTGATCGTAAATTTTTTGGTTGTTTTTAGTACTTTTTTCATAATTTGGTGAGTAAAGAAGAAAATGAACCTAAATTTAGCTCAAATATTGCATATAAATCATTAATTATTATAAATATCTGTTTTTTAACTAGTTGTTATCAGTCAGGATTATGATTATGGAGATATTGATCCGAGTACACTAGTTGGACCCCAGGTACACATCTAGTACACTTGTTGAACCCCAGGTACACATCGAGTACACTTGTTGGACCCCAGGTACACATCTAGTACACTTGTTGTACCCCAGGTACACATCTAGTACACTTGTTGGATCCCAGGTACACATCTAGTAAACTTGTTGGACCCCAGGTACACATCTAGTTAACTTGTTGGACTCTAGGTACACCCCTTCTAGTGCACTTGTTGGACCCCTGCAGGTACACATCCAGTACACTTGTTGGACCCTAGGTACACATCTAGTACACTAGTTGGACCACAGGTCAACATTAGTACACTTGTTGGGCACCAGGTACACATCTATAATGGACACTTGTTGGACCCCAGGTATACATCGAGTACACTTTTTGGACCCCAGGTACACTTGTTGGACACCAAGTGCACAGTTAGTACACTTGTTGGACCCCAGGTACTAATCTAGTACAATTGTTGGGCCCCTGCAGGTACACAAATATATAGTACACTTGTTGGACCCCAGGTATACACCCAGTACACTTATTGGACCCCGGGTAAACACCTATACTATGTTTGTCGGACCCCAGGTACACATCTAGTACACTTGTTGCCCATTTACACATCTTTAGTACACTTGTTGGACCCTAAGTACAACATCTAGTATACTTGTTGGACCCAGGTACACCTCTAGTACACTTGTTGGACCCCAGGTACACATCTGTATAGTACACTTGTTGGACCTCAGGTATACATCTAGTACACTTTTTGGACCCATGTACACCTAGTACACATCTAGTACATCTGTCGGACCCCTGATACACATTTAGTGCACTCGTGGGACCCCAGATACACATCTTTAGTACACGTGTCGGACCCTTGGAGAACATTTAGTACACTTGTTGTAACTGTCTACTGTCTACTGTCTACTGTCTACTGTCTACTGTCTACTGTCTACTGTCTACTGTCTACTGTCTACTGTCTACTGTCTACTGTCTACTGTCTACTGTCTGTCTACAATCTACTGTCTAATGCTAGGTTATGTCTGAGCTGTTTGATGAAAATGATCCATCTGAAGATATCCCTGACCAAGATATAGGAGAAGTTATCACGGAGAAACCTCAATATGGGCAAAAGGTAATATTGTTTACATTACATTTACTATAACTGTTCCTCGTTTGTTAGTATTTTTAGACGATGAAATAACAATTTTTAGAAATAAATATTTTAGATTTACTTTTGATATTGAAAAAATTATATCTAATCAATTTAATCGTCGGAAAAGATCGTGAACTTTGTCTATACTAAATTTTAAATCAACATTTCAGAAAATTAACCATTTAAAATATTATCTAAGCTAATTTTTGTCTAATGAATCATATTATTATGTCCACTGTAAGATATTTTGAAAATTTTTCTTTTTTAATAAAAGAGGTTAATATTAATATTCTTACTGTGTATAATTGTTGAACAAGACCGAAAATTCAATGTTTAAAATCCTCCTGGTGCCGGCCCCCAGGTAAATAGCGGAAGTCTCTCCCTTTAAAGAATGTTTTTTTTTAGCAAAATGCGTTTGATGAGATGATTGTGGATGAAGAGGAGGAAGAGATGGAGGATAAACCAAACCAACAACAAACATATGTTTCAGGTAATATAATGGTTATGGGGGGGTCAGATTGAAAGACAGATTTCAGGGGATGAAACAATTCTTAATGTAGACAGATCAATTATTCCCAAATTTCCAAAGTACCCCAAGTTCTTTAATTCTATTATTCTTAAAATTTTCATATTCTTGAAAAATGTCATTAATCCATCATTAAAATTTCAGGGAACCTGCCCCGACCTAGGTTTGTTATGCTGGGTCAGCAAGGTGTGGGAAAATCATCAATTGCAAACAGTTTACTTGGTAATATCCCATCATATACATAAGCTTAGATGTATTCATGTCAGGGGCGTATACAGGAATTATTAAAAAGTTTCTAGAGGAAGGGGGTTGGGGGAACTAAGATCATTGGAGGTTGAACCCCCCATGAAAATCATAGTCTCTACTTTTCCAGAGCCCAAAACTTAAGACTGAGTATCGTAATAAAACTCAGTATCGGAAACAAATTGTGATAAATGGGGTCAGGCAGTTTTGTAGATACCATTATTTGCGTTAGAAAATATTATTATATGAGGTTTCATCACGTTCTCTTTGTTTCCAGATTTTTAAATCTACGCAAATGTATAATATCCCATAAAGGAAACTTGAAAATTTCGTTCAATGATACTCTCTTAAATTCCCGGCTCAGGGGTGTATATACTGAGCTGAAAACTTTAGAATGAGATATCCTTAATCCTGATCGAATCTGAGTATCCAATGTACACACTTTTGATTTTAATCTTAATCCTTCTTTTTGGATATCCCTAGACTATATAAAAGTTACGTTTGATAACAATTACAGATACAATGGTATATCGATTGAACTAATATCCGATTGAATTAAAGTCAGCTGTTCACAAGCCGGCTTTTAGAGCATTTAAGAAAATATAAATTTAATCATGTTAATATGAACTTATTAAAAATATCTTTTATCACATTTTAGGACTAATCATTTTAAACGTTAATCCAAAACTTACATTTATTTAATTGATGTTTAGGTCAATTGATATGACACAATTAACACCTGAAAAACCGAGTTTTCAAAAGTTAAAGAGTACATCTTAACATGATACGCGGATTGGTTGAATTTTATACTTCTTTCTTGGATATCGAATGCGTATTAAAATAATCTCGGGTTTAGTAAAACCAAGAGTTTAAGCATTAATCTTGATATCCATAATTCTAAAGTTTTCAGCTCTGTATACACTATATAGAGGATCACTTGAACTTATATTCTTAAAGAGCCGATTCTCAATCTGCACTGTATAAAGAGTAAAGGAACTGAGTATTGTCACAATCTTAAAGGATTTGAGTCTTTGCCACAAACTCTGAATTCATAATCCCTATAGCTTTGGAACCAAATGGCGTACATCTTTGATATTTCAAACTTATATCATTTGATCTAACAGAATTCATAGTTTGAAATCTAAGTACTACGACATTGGAATCAAAAGATATACGGTGTAGAAAAGCAGAGTTTTTGGCAAAGACTCAATTCCTTTGCTCAACCCTTTATCTTTGCAACCTGACAGTTCATTTAAGATATTTAAAACTGAGATTATTTGATCCAACAAAGTTCAATGTTTGAAATAAATGATAGTTTGCAGCAAGTTCTGTTTAAAATTCTATACAATAAACATGAAAGTTTTTTGTCTCTAGGTTATGATAATCTGATGGAAGCTGGTCTAAAGAAACAGCACAGGCAGAAAATGCCATTTGCTGTCGGTCATGGACTCAGGAACACCAACATCTTTTTTCACAGGGTGGCGCAGTCTGTGGAGGACCCCCTGTATTTCTAGCCCTTTCATATAATGCGGGCAAGAAATACTTACTAAGAAGCAATTAGAGATTTACATAGAGATCCTGAAAATCCTAAATGTAACACATAATTCCAAACAGCTTTGAAATTTGCGCATCAATTTTCCGGGGCCATCTTTGAAGTGTCGCAATACCTTGGTCTTTGGTTATAACTTACTTTATTACTTAAACTTTTATGTAGCCCTGAATACAGTTTGACCGAAGTAATTCTGTCTAAATGATGATAAATTATTGCTTGAAAGCATACTTATTTACGATTGCTGTAAAGGTAACAATGATATCTTTGTTTATTATTCTAACTTTATTATTAACGTTGACATATCCTGTTTTAACTCAAATTTCTTATTTAATCTGCTTTTAATAAGGTAAATTTGTTTTTTTACGAACAGAATTTTTGTAATAAGATTTTTAATCAAATTCAGTTTTAGGAAAAAAGAATATTTTCTATTAGTATTTTTTTTGTTACTGACTTGAGAAAAAGTGATAAGTCCCTTTACACAAAATATTATTAAATTGTGTTGGTACTGTGCAGGTCAAAGACGAAGATGACCTCCTTCAGTGTCGGTCAATTCCTTGGGGACCCCTTTAGCCCTAACATAACAGTAGTGGACACACCAGGATTTAAGGTGACGTCATGAGCAAGATTCAATGAAAAAAATCGAAATTTTGCGCAGCGCTTACAAAAGTTGTCTTTTTAGTTTTACATGTTTTCATCCTTAGCACTTAGCAGTACTTTTCATCTTCTAAACCTTACCAGAAATGGTTTAAACAAAATTTAATCAGATAAATTATTATTATAATATATATATAACCAGGATAATATTCTGAAAAATCTCGGTCAATTTGAAAATCCATGATGAGATGCAAGGAATATTGCTCAAGTACATGGCGAGTAATGAATTCACGTGGATTTTACGGTTATGTCAATATTCAAGAAAGCTGTAACTTCTGATCACAATTTGTCCTATTAAACATGATTCTTTAACCTTTTTTTCTGAACTACTTTTTGTCGACATATACGTTTTAAATAAAAAGTATATAACAAACAAATCCGTAAATACTATCTAAATAGATTCTCCTGATGGGACACCCTGTATGATAATGAAGATAAAATATGAGATAAATCTCAATAGTAAATAAATTTATTTTATTATCCTGACTTTAGTGTCACTGTTTTCTGTTTTTAGGATTTTCTCACTCGTTTATTTGTAAAATGTAATATTTTTGAATAGATACATAATGTTATAAACATAAAGTATATTCAGGATACAGTTCTTCTATAAACTAGTTCATAACATATAGGAACCACATAATATTATAAACATAAAGTATATTCAGGATAAAGTTCTTCTATAAACTAGTTCAATAGGAACCACATGTTCTAGGTTCATGGAGAACTGCATCATTTGAAATATATTTTCAAGGGGCTGTTCTTGAATTTTAAATGGGTGTAAAAACTAATACTATATAATGTCTACCCGATGTAATTTAAGAGTTTTAAAGAAAAATCCTCCAAAGGAATTGAGTCTTAGCAACAAACTCTGATTTTCTTATTCCTACATCTTTGCAACCCAATGTCCTAGAACCAGCAATGAATTCTGTTAGCTCAAATAATAAAAGTTTGAAATATCAAAGCTTGATATAAAGGTTCACTTGAAATTACGCTTACAGGACCTTTAAAACCATCTTAAGACTATAATGTATTTTTAAACTAAGGATCAACGTGACACTGAGTTTGTGGAGGAGCTGATGAATGTGCTGGGGGACGAGGTGAAGGAGGTCGACAGCTTCGTGATCGTCTACAAGTACAAGGACAGGTTTACTTCACCCTTTGCCAGGACACTCAGGGTCATCACTAAGATGTTTGGAAACTTCTGGACTAATGTTGTCATCCTCGTCAACTTCTGGAGTTTCAAACCTCTTCATGTTCAGGTTTAATGTTTAATGGTTTAATGATAATTGGTTTTTAACAGAATCTCCTTTGAAATAAAGAAAATGATTGCTCGTGTTCAAAACTCAGGGTACTAGAACAAAATGTTTCCTCTCATAACGTCATAGATAATTTTTGCAAAACTTTCTATCAAATGTTTATGTAAAAAAATCATAAAAATAACCATTTTGGGGTATTGGCTTGTCAGGAATAGGAGAAGAATTTTGATAAAAGATCTTAATGTAGAAAATGAATAAGCTTTTGAGGGATTTGGCAGAAAGTAATTTCAAAATCTAAACTTAAAACCTCATTGTTGAACAATTTTACACATGTTACATTGAGTACGTGTTGAAACATATGACAAACTAAGTTTGAAAAACAAGGAAATATAATCTATGTAAAGTTGTTGCGTTATTTATTTATATTAAAGGAATTGACTCTTTGCCACAAACTCTGATTTTCTAATCACATTATTTTTTTCAAACTATGAATTCTGTTAGATTAAATAATCTTAGCTTGAAATACCGATGTTTTACACCACTAGGTTGCATCGATATTGGGATTCGAAAATTTGAGTTTGTGGCAAAGACTCAACTCCTTTGAGAAAAAATGTTTAGCGTCATTGTTTATTGTGTTAAAAGAAAACATATGTGACTTTGATTTAATCTGAGAAGGAAGTTTAAAAATTTCTTTTCATTTTGCGGATTTTTTATTTGTGAAATGTTTAGGATCGGTTGGATAGAAGAGTTAGCCAGAAAAAGTACGGAGAGGAATTGACTAAAATATTTGAAGAAAAGTTTGATTTAAATTTTAAGATTCCGATTGTTTTCATTGATTCTCACTACAATAAATCCGTACCAGAGGAGTTAGCAGCTTTCAAGGTTATTATTATCATTATCATCATTATTATTATTATCGTTATTCTAAGCCCGAGTNGGTTATCTTTCGCCACAATTCTATTTAGTTTATATTTTATAATTTTATAATTTTATAATTTTATAATTCTATTTCTCTTGTCGCTTCCGCAACTATCTAAGAATGCCGTTCACCATTCACATTTTTCGAAATCCCGTTAAAAACGTTTTCTGAAAAATAAAATATAAACAAATTAATTATATTAGCGATCAAAAGCGCTTTTTTATCGCATTAAGCCTATACCCCCTTTCATTTTTCGCGAACACTCCCTTTCAGTAAAAAAATATTGTGTTCAAAGTACAATTTTTGAATACATTTATGTAAATCTCATAATTATACAAATATTTATAATGATTTTATCTAAAGTTTTACATTACAACGTTTTAAAGAATTAAAATTTAATGTTGCATATTTTAAATGAACTATCAAATCCATAGAATTTATCTATTAGATTATATACTTTTGCTTTCTTTCTAAAATCTAGTATTTATTATATACATTTCTGTACTTTATGTTTGAAAACTGATGATGCATTTTATTCAAATCGTCATAAAATTATGCAAACAGAACGGGCATTTCAGGGTGGCAATGTATGCTAGACTTAATATAAATGTGCAATGGATTGGGGCAATCTGAAATAGCTATCAAGTACGTGGTAATCCATCATATTAATGTTTTTATTAATACACTTTCGGATCAAGTATCTATATAAGATATCATACTGCAGTTGTTCAATTCCATCGGTAAATATGGTGGCCTAAACGGACTTTTATATAGCTAAATCAGATTGATCAAAATCTACTTTACATATTTTATTAAATAATGCTGTTGTCGGATAGGAACAAGATTCTGACGATGAACAGATAGACAAGGAGTAACCCTCAAATCAAAATCGATAATGCAGAAAACTCTTTATTTCCTAAAAAAAAATGAAATGAATAATGATAAATAATTATTACAATGGTTTACGAATTTATAATGAAAAGATTCTTACGATCTATTTGCTTATTTGTGGGTTAACTGTCGGAGAGTCCTAAGACGCTTTTTATACATTAAAACTTCTGAAAAGAGTGACAATTAAATGTTAAGGAAAGTCACTAATTCTTTATATGAAAATATTCTTGCTTAACTTGAAGTGGTTCACAATTAATAAAAGCGTTTATACTCCGTTGTCGGAGAACAAAGAGAAGCGGGCTGAAATTGTTTGGTTTGGTTTCGTCTCCAAGAGGAGCTTTTAGGTTGAAGACGACATTACATGGGGGGGGGGGGGGGGTATTAATGTTAATGGTTGACAAATGCGCACATCGACAACCACATTAATAATATTTATGCTTTGGTATTGATTTTAACACATTTGCAATATCATAAGATAAACAATAATTGTTAACTGAATTGCTCAAAATTTCTTTTCTAATAATCTTGTACTAGTTCTATATGCATGCATTCATAGTCTACTTTTCTAATAATCTTGCACTAGTTCTATATGCATGCATTGCATAGTCTACTTTTCTAATAATCTTGCGCTAGTTCTATATGCATGCATTGCATAGTCTACTTTTTAAATCTGTAAAACCTCAGATGTATCTGATCGAGTAGGCATTACATGTTACTTGAATTATGTTTGCAAATTTTTCCAAATATGTTGTTTACTTTAGGTGTCGAGCTATCAGCAAGGAAAACAAAGACTTCAAACAAACTGTGGAGGATCAAACAAAAATGATAGGAAGGACAAATTTTTTAAATCATAGAATAAAATAAATCTTGATAAAGTTATAATCTAAAAGAAATTTAATGATTGTCGTCTTCTTTTAGAAATGTCGCGTAGAGATATAAATTCCAAAATATACAAGAAAAAAATTTAAGTTACCTTTTCTAGAGTCACAAAAGTTTGTGATGAATAATTTACGAAATGGTATTGAATATCTCAAAACTACATGCGAAGGTAGGAACAGGGGCATAAAGGTATTTATCTCTACGCCTGTCTTTGTAATATTTGCACCATTGTAAAAAAATATATATAAACATTGAATACTTGACGATGCAGAACTAAAATGAAATTAAAAATTTAGCTTCCCTTTGAAAGTTTTAGTTTAACTTGAGTGAAATTGAGTAGATTAAAAGTTAAATAATAAATATCAAATTCTGTTCATTTTTAATGTTAGAAAGTTTTATACAGGATGGGGGCCGGGGGGGGGGGGCTTTTTCCTTACATCGATTTGATATCTGACGTTAATAATTTTAAAGATTTATTCAAATACAAAAATTAGGAAAGTTTGCTATTGAATAATTACTATAAAGAACCTATTCAAACTAAATTAAAATTGAATGCTTGATCTCTTTTCTGCTTTAAATTTTCTTATGACACATTCATTAATGTTTTTATACTTTTAATTATTTAGGTTCAACACAACCTGGGATTTCCAAAATGTGCTTTGTCTGTGTTTTAATGATAACTTTTCTGATATTTCCTCTGTTTAAACGACTCGTTGTCACCAATATGAAGGGATAAAGCATAAGAACAGGAATTTGGTATTAAAGAAATGTCACTTGAAATGACATAAAAAATTGTTATCCAGTTTTTTATTCATTTAGAATTTTCCAGACAACCCATTCCCCCTGAATCTTTAATGAGTCTACAGAATATAATTTTCCCTAAATTCCAGCCAATAATGTGGACATAACTACTTCTCATGCCAATATTCTAAAGATTAGGAGAATGCATTCTCTTCTTTTTAACAAACAGCTTTTCAGAAAATTTGTAAATATATAATATACTAACTGAAGGGCTGGCGTTGCCTGTGGGAAAAAAATTTTTAAAAATAAATGTTGAAAAATAAATTTCGGATTTTTTTAGCCTAAAACACCCTCCGGCCACCCATGAGTGTCCACAAAAAAATTTAGTACATTCGGTTCTGCTGTTTGACCGGCTATTGGTGACATATTTACGAATGTCTTGTTTTATTATATAAATATATCTAACTATACTGATATATTTACCATACTCAATTAATTTGAGTCAAAAGTCAATTACACAAAAGCTGTAGTTAGATCCAGAAAACACCAGAATTCTTGTTTTTTTCCTGTAGACTTTAATTATAAAATGTTGCAAATATTTATTCAAGTTACAACAATGAAAAATTAAAAATTCTTTGCAAAATTGCTTAATTAAAAGGAAAAACAAATATAAAATTCATTCTACAATATTTAAATTTGTAATGTTTAGATTTTTAAAAAAGAGGCCAGTTGGTTCCTAGCATTGTATTTTCAAAAACTTATTTATAACCTATACAAATGAATGCCGGAGGCATTAGGAATATTTTCCCCCCTTGCTATAGAATTATTATTTCATCATTTACCCTGATGTGTTTATAAAAAGTTGTGATTATTAAATCCTTGAAGGATTTATCTCTGAAACCTGCACTTGTTTAGGTGAAGTTATTGTTGGGTGTCAGTGGGCTGAATGGTCGCCTTGGAGTTCCTGCTCTAAAACATGCGGTGGTGGACTCAAGTCTAGGAGTAGGTAAAACAGCGGAGGACTCAAGTCTACGAGTAGTTAAAACATTCGGTGGAGGACTCAAGTCTAGGAGTAGTTAAAACATTCGGTGGAGGACTCAAGTCTAGGAGTAGGTAATCATGTGGTGGACTCAAGTCTAGGAGTAGGTAAACCATGTGGTGGACTCAAGTCTAGGAGTAGGTAAACCATGTGGTGGACTCAAGTCTAGGAGTAGGTAAACCATGCGGTGGAGGACTCAAGTCTAGGAGTAAGTAAACCATGTGGTGGACTCAAGTCTAGGAGTAGGTAAACCATGCGGTGGACTAAAGTCTAGGAGTAGGTAAACCATGTAGTGGAATAAAGTCTAGGAGTAAGTAAACCATGTGGTTGACTTAAGTCTAGGGGTAGGTAAATCATGTGGTGGACTCAAGTCTAGGAGTAAGTAAACCATGTGGTGGACTCAAGTCTAGGAGTAGGTAAACCATGTGGTGGACTTAAGTCTAGGAGTAGATAAATCATGTGGTGGACTCAAGTCTAGGAGTAAGTAAACCAAGTGGTGGACTCAAGTCTAGGAGTAGGTAAACCATGTGATGAATTCTAGTTTAGAAATAGATAAACCATATGGTGGTTGATAAAAGTAAATTTTATCTAGAGAAAAGTTACCCGGAATGGGAACATGTGATGGAGATGCATCAGCTGTTGAGGTTTGCGCAGAGCAAGTGAGTCAAATTTTATCATTGCTATTTTCAAGTTTAGACTGTTTTGGCTGTAGGTTGACAGATATCAATGTACCTAGGTGCTGTACTTCTACCAATTCCATATTTTTTACTGAACCTGTGTGATCTACACTTTCCAAAGACCATTGTAAATTCAATAGTTGGTTTCTACAAAGATGTACAAAGAAAATTAAATGCAATGCTTAAATAAGTTTTGGCGATAAAAATAGAATAAACAAGGTCAGATGGATGTCAAGAGTAGTTTACAAAGATGACTGACAAAACTGATTTTTTAATCAGGAGGTTTGTCCGTTGGAAAATGATAACACAACCCTTGTGGTTGTTATTGGTGGAGAAACTACAAGAGAAAACAGAGAGAATGAACATTCAACATCAATTGAGATCATTGGAGCTTCAGGTTATCAATATTAATCTTTAGATGATATTTTCTAGTTAGATCTTACCATATATTTAAAGAATGGATGACTTGGAATTTGCTTCTTTTTTTCTTTTTTTACCCTCAAAAAAACATAAGTTTGGACTCAAACCTTTAAAAGTTTCACATCAATATGGACTTATATTTCAAGGCTTATGTCGACTCTCTGGAGTTCCAGATCTACCTGAAGCCAGAGGAAAGCTCTGTGCTGCCTACGATCCATCAGGGGCCCTTATTGGTTTGTATTAGGAGTCAGCTTCAATTATTTTATAACTTGAACTGTAATCCTAAAAATACACAGTTTTAGGATTTTTGATTTCATTGTGATGAAAATAACTTTAAGGTTTTATCCGAATAAGTATAGACATCTACAAACTTTCATGACTAAATCGGTTTTGCAATTTGCAAAATGCATTCTGAACTATCACTTCTTTTTCAGTTTGTGGTGGGGGTCAAAGGTTTTGGCGACCAAACAACAACTGCTGGCAGCTTGTTAAAGGGTACTCAACGTGGGAAGAGATTCCCCAAATATATCCAGTTCATGGAGCAGCAACTACTTTTTTCAGGTAAAAGCAGGAGGAAGCACCAAATAACAAAATTATATCATTATGAATTAAAAAAAAAGGTTTTCCTGTCACACACTGTTGTGTTGGACAAAATTGACACCAAAGATCTGATTTAAAGTTCAATTTTTATGGCTCATGCGGTGCAGTGCTAACTTGCATTTAGCTAGTTATTTTACTTTTTACTGCTAAAGAAGAACAGAATAATAGAAAAGATGGTGAAATTTTAAGATGAATTTGTACAAGTCCATCATTTTGCTAGCACAGAGAATTAACTTTGTTTAAATTCAAAATCACTTTCAGAAATTAAAGAATTTCAATAACCAATGAAAGGTTCTGATCCATTCTGTTTTCAGGGGAAAGTTTTGGGTGTTTGGAGGTTCTACAGGTGATGACAGTTATGATCATACGATCACTGATAAAGTTCAAGCATACAACCCTAGAACACAGGTCTGGAGTGTTGAGAAGTCACTTAGCAGTCCCCGGCATAAGGTAAGAGTCTATCCTATGTTAATAAAGGACTATTTTTTTAAAGGATTTTACAATGAACAATTATTTGAAAAACTTGATTGATCCATGTGTTATTTTGGTCAACAAAAACTCTGCTGCAACCCTAAAGTTCAATGCCTAATGTTCAACAGTAAAACTGGTTAACATAACCTAAAATGAATCATTTTGAATGCGGGTTCTGTATAAACGTCAATTGTAGATGTAAGCAGACGAATAAAGACATAAATAAAGGATTTTGACAGAAATTTTCTCTTTTAAAAATAGAAAATAAATTTTTTACACATTGTAACACATACATGTATGTAAATTTAATTGTTCAGTCTTGTGCGGTTACAATCGATGATCAAGTAGTACTGACAGGAGGGACAATGCTGGGACTGGGCAAGGTAAAACCGGTTTGGCTAGCAGAGATTGGAACCAGAACAGCTGAGAGCTTTGACGGAGAAAACTGGTATAGTTTACCATCCTTGACAAGGGCTAAGGTAATTTATTTATATTAATTATTTGATTAAAAAACCAAGTATCAAAGAACATAAAAATAATTTTATTGCATGTATTTTGATTCGTTGTTAAAACCTTGTATACTTTACATGATCTGAGGTAGTAAATGACGAGTTCAAAATTTTCTATTCCCTATATATTGGTAGTCTAATGTTGTAAATCTGTTATATTTGAATCTTAGATGATTTGATCCATCAGAACTATCCCTATCAGAATTTATAGTTTGAAAAATTAAAGGTATTAGTTAGTTGGTTTAAGTTTGTGGCAAAAACTCAAGTCCTTTTGAATATATTTGTTCTTTCTCTGATAGACATAAAATGCCGACTTTAAGGGTTTTCTTTGGGACAACATTTGGCAAACAAAATTCCACTGGAAAATGCAAGGATTTAAAAAAAAATCTGTTTTGTTTTCTGGCTTATATATTTATCCCTGTATATGGGTATCTGAGAACTGAGAATGTTAGAATAGTTAATACTGAGAAGAAGTAAATTTTATTAAAAGTTTTTGTTTGGCTTCCCAAAACTTTTATGGATAAAGGTTTATTTTTGGATATAAAAGTTTTCTGAATTAGGAAATATCTACATATCAGGAAATATCTGCATATTAGGAAATATCTACATATCAGGAAATATCTGCATATTAGGAAATATCTGCATATTAGGAAATATCTGCATATTAGGAAATATCTGCATATTAGGAAATATCTGCATATTAGGAAATATCTGCATATTAGGAAATATCTGCATATTAGGAAATATCTGCATATTAGGAAATATCTGCATATTAGGAAATATCTGCATATTAGGAAATATCTGCATATTAGGAAATATCTGCATATTAGGAAATATCTGCATATTGATAAATTTCTTTCTTTTCCTGCACTTTGTAAACTCTAAAATACTGTGCAATTCTTTTTTGACTCAATTTTTAATGATAAACGCAAAAGAGAAATATTTCTTCCTTTAAAAATGAATTTAACTTGTAAAACAATTTCACAATAACAAATTTAGAAAGGTTGAGGCTGAGAGAGGGAAGGGTTTATATTTTCTATTTGGCTAAAAACTTGCATGGTTTACTTTTATTAGTCCATTAGTTGAAGTGCCCGCGGTGTTGTCGATCCGAGAAGAAAAAAATAAATTTTGAAAAAACATATTGAGCTTCTAGCCTATGTTAACCCCAGGGTATTCATGGGTTTCCGAAAAAATGTTCAGCCAACTTGGTCCAGACGTTTGCTCGGCTATAGTTAACAACTTAACATATATATAAATAAATATATATGAGCGAAGAGCTTTATTATCTAGAGTACAGATATAGATTGGAACCTCATTTTTATTGAATAGTAATTTGTTGTGACTTTTAAATGTCTAAAAAAAGTTCTATAGGGAACCATTTTGTATCTTTTAAGAGACTTTTTAAACGTTTTATCACTGTGAATAAGGTCGATTATAGTCCCTTAACAAATGGAACTATGTTAATTAAATGTTGATTGACTAGGTTGAGCATGGTTGCAGTGTGGCTGCTATCAGTGGATCTCGTGGTATTCTAGTAGTTGGTGGAGCTACAGGAGACGATGTGGTGGAGTTCCTAGACTGGGATATCAAGTCAGCATGGAAGGTTCTAGGTCAGACTTTATTTTACTAAACATGACAGCTGTAAAACGACGGTATTTCAAGTTGTTAAAAATGCATTTTTCCAAGTGGAAAGATATTTTAAACTATGATTTCAGTTAGATCAAATATTTTAAGTTTACAATATCAAAAGGTTTACTCCAACAGGTTGCAAAGATATAGGGAACATTCAGTGAAGGGATCTTTAATATTTCGATCTTTTAATTCTGTTAGATCAAGTAGTCAAAGTTTGAAATACTAGGCTTTTAGGGCGCTTCGCGCCCATCTTCTATTTAAATTGTGAACATGTTCTTTTCGTTAACATTTTAAGACAAAGAAGAAAAAATTTTTGCTGATTTTAATAAATCGCGGATTTTCAAGAATTAAATTTTTTTTACAAAACTAAAAACCTTTAAAACACATTTTTTTTAGCATTCATAAATCTTCCCGTTGGTCACGTGATGTCCCACAAAAAAATTGGGCCCGATCGGTTCAGCCGTTTTGACGTTTATTGGATACAAACAAACAGACGGACAGACAAGCCAAATTCATAGATAGATTAAAGGATTACACAGTCAGGTTTCAAAGATATAAAGATAAGAAGATTAAGATTTTTAGGCATGCTATTTGTAAACATTTATCGTTGAAATATGTCATAACACCATAAATAAACATAAAAGATTATTTCATTCAAAGAAAGGGTCAGGACCACTCCTCTGTATGCCGAGTCCATTAGTAGCGCCTGATCCAATCAGGGTTCAGTCATGTGTTTGTGGACTATTCTGGATCAATAGAATCAGAGTTTTAAATCCTTCAATCGGCGCTATCAGTAAATGGAAATATATTGAGACTATGGTGGGACAGGGCTCCAAAAAGAACTTTATCGTGATATATTGGAAGAGTCCAAGTATGCTATCAGTAAATGGAAATATACTGAGACTATGGTGGGACGGGGCCCCAAAAAGAACTTTATCATGATATATTCAAAGAGTCCAAGTATGCTATGTTTAGGTAAGCTGAACAGAGGTAGAGGAATGATGCCAGGAATAGGTTTTATCGGAGGCAAACTCTCAATTGTCGGAGGATACAGTTGGCCCGGAGCTGTTGATATTATTGAACAGTGGGACGAGGACAAGTAAGTTTACGAATAAGACCTCCTTGTAACTAAAACGTTCAAAAACTGAAAAATGCAAAAAGTCAACAAAAAAATTTTAATTTCTTTTATTAAAGGGATTATTTGGATTTTTGAATAGTTCGATAGGTACCACCATTGCTTAATGAGAGCTAAATTTGTGAAACATAACTGAGCTTAGTTTTATTGATAACTCTAAAATAAAACGGTGGTTTTAACACATTATGTAAATATCTGTATTTTAATTTAGCAAATTTTTAACAAAAATATATTTTTTGCTTTGAAATCATGTACTTGTACACTCTTGACAATTTAAATTCCTCTGAATAAGTTAAAGTAAGACTTTGTGAAGATGTTTTGAAGTAAATTCTGAAACTATAACCTGGGAAAGTGCATTAAAAATGGGAAAATATTATTTTATTCATAAAGCAAAGTTTTTAAGTTTTCAAAAAATTGTTTGTTTTGACAAGCTAGACAGAAGCACTCTAACTAATCAAAACAGTATTTACATAGTAAATAACCTTACAAATATTAAATCTAATATTTTTTTAAACTTTAATGATTCTTAACATGCCTTTAAAATGTCACCATGCTAGCCGTAATTTCGACACAATTAAGCTAATCGTATACCTTTAAGAGATGTCACTAAGGGTCTGACAGATTCTATTCTTTCTGTAAAAATAGCTTTTTTTTACTTTTTATTCATCTATAAATAAAGGGATTCATGCGTCTTTGTTAATCCCATTATGTTTGCAACCCAATTTTTGATATTTCAAATAATGAAAGTAATGTTGAAAAGATATAGGGATTAAAAAATTGATTTTGTGGCAAAGACTCATTTCCTTTACGAAATATAAAAGATAATTCCAAAAGCCCCCCCCCCCCTACCCCGGAGGTCATTTATTTTATTATTTTATTTCTAATTGCAAACACCGATAAACATAATCCGACAAGCACCTCTGACCCTTTGGTAAAAGTAAATTCAACCTTGTGGTACCGGCTAGTACTATTGAGTGACAGTGTCTGCCTTATTTACCTAATTTGTTCGGGCGATACAGTACAAACTGGGACCGGAAAGGTTGACCCGGCTGGAAATTCTAATGTACTACGGCTTCCCGTGCCGAACTCAAACATTCATATCGATTTTTTTCATGGCATCACTTCTGTTACATTATATTTACAGTCGTCGTCGATTAAAGAAATACAATATTAGCGACTCTCGATTTAAAGTTTGTTTCCTTATTTGTATGGATGCACATAATAAGTACTAAGTAAGGTAAAGCTATCAAACAGCTTTTCGATATTTAATACTTGTAATTCGAAAAAAGCCTTCTAACAATTACAAACAATTTATACCGGGCCGACATTAGGGCTACACCAGAGCAATTTGTACAATATACAATACATAAGGCTGTATAAGGCTAAACGGGACCGTACACCTCGTACACCACAAGATGAACATTCCTTTTACCAATTATATATTTAGGGAGGAGTGGAGCAGAAGTATAAACAAGATAAAGTACGCTAGATACAACCACGCTACTATAACTGTACCCGGAGACATGTTCCCACAATGTCTGAACCCATAGATATATCAAATACAATCCAATTCATCAAATAATGTAAATATTGGTTACACTTGCCTCAAAAACTAATTTTGTAATCTTTATATCTTATATAATATATATGGTATAAACCTCTCATATTTCAAATATTGACTATTTATGAAAGCTCTGCAAATGATAAAATTAGAGTTTGAGACAAGTGTTCACTGTTCAGTTCCTTTCCAGGTTTCACTTGAAATTTGTTCTATTGTTCTATTGTCTATTTTCTTCATAGTTCACTTCAATTTTTAAACTAATTGAACATTTTATACAAAGCAATTATGTGCTCTAAATTGGCAACTATATTTTATCATGGATTTTGTGTACATTACTTTCATTGTAAATCATACATTCAATATTACTTTATTATTAATAGAATTCTTCTCTGGTTCCAGCAAAATAAATATTGTAAAAAAAATTTCTTTAATTTAGATTCTCAACTCACAGCAAGATACACTAATGTAGTTTTAAAAGGCATAAAATATGGAATATTAAGACGATAACAAAAACTTTTACGAAACTGTACACAAGTAAACAAAATTATGTTAATTAATCAATTTTAGAAATCATTTTTGTCTAATTGGAATACATTAAACTACGGTACAGAGTTTACCTAATGCGTTGCCTAAAAGGATCTGAGGTTTTACCACAAACTCTGGTTTTCTAATTCCTATATCTTTGAAACCCGATGACGGTTGCAAAGCGCTAGGGATTAGAAAATCTCAGTTCCTTGATGAATGGATGAATTAATCTTTAATAACCTTTAATTCATCTATATATACATTTGGCTTGTCTGCCTGTCTGTCTGTTTGCTTGTTTGTATCCAATAAACTTCAAAACGGCTGAACCGATCGGGCCCAAATTTTTTGTGGGACATCACGTGACCACATGAATGAATGATAAAAAAAATTTTAAAAATGTGTTTAAAAGGTTTTTAATTTTGTAAGAATAATTAAATTCTTGAAAATCCGCGAATGTTTTTTTAAAAATCCGCAAAATATTTTTCTCCTTTGTTTTTAAATTTAAACAAAAAGAACATGTTCACAATTTAAATAGAAGATGGGCGTGAAGCGCCCTAAAAGCCTAGTAATCTCAAATTTATACTATTACTTTTATTCGCCATAATTTATTCTTCATTCATTATAATCTTCAAAAACATGAATAAAAACTAGATATATATATCAAATGCTTCAGCTTCACCTGCGAGCAGGCTTTGCCAATTTTCCTGGTTTTGAGTGAAAACCCTATCACTTTAATCTAATATAATAGAATCTTGTTATTGGAAATACTTCAGTCGATATTTGTAAGATTCACTCAATATGTGAGAAATATAGGGATTAAAAATTAAACTAATCGGAGTGGATTAACCAGAGTGAACAGCATTTGGTTTCTTCTATTTGAGATCAAACGTGTTTTGGTTTATAATTTAACAATCTTTTACCTAACAGATTTGTTTATTTTATACTTTTTCATTCAAAATGCATGTGCCGACAAAAAAGTATCCAAGACAAAAGGCTAAAAAATTATGTTTAATGGGTCAAATTGTAATCGAAAGTCGCAGTTTTCTGGAATATTGACAGAACCGTTAAATCCACGTGACCTGCAGCCACAAACCAATTCTGGAGTTGTTAGAGTCCCAAAGGAACTTTTATTCTACAAACAGGCCGATCAAGTCGACGAAAATGTCTAGATCGATAGATTAAACACGAATCAAATATGTTAATTTAGATTTTAAAAATTCAAATGAGTAGATTATAATTTATTTAATTTATATTTACAGTTAAACTTTAAGTTATATAATTTATGCATGTATGTAATTGTGTAGATTTATAACAGTTTATATATTTACAAATCAAATTTTAGTTTCTTTGGTATTTCCGAGTAATTTGTTAATTTCAGCAACAATTTTCAACACTCGTCCTGATTCTCCGGTATCAACGGATTCGTCCGCAGTTTCGTCCGACGAATTATTTTGTAAGGATTTGGGGGAAAAAATTTCAAAAAGATTGTTTAAGCTGTGCATTAAATGCTCCAGCTCGTCTACAGCTTCCTTGCAGCTTCCTGATATATCGGAGGGAGCAGCATCACGGAGCTTCTCAGATATCTCTAGCAGCGATGTCTAAAAATTTACAAGATGAAAATTTACAGGCAACACTTTTAGACGCCCAGAAAGTGGAACACTGATTTTTAAAAAATATAAAAATTTGAATGTTTACCTTAGAGTATGAGAGTCCCGTTCCTCCCAACCTATCTGTCAGATCTGACAGCTGATATCTAGTGAAGGACAGATCAAAGTTTCCGTCTGTCTCATCATTCGTCTGTTCTCCATTATTATCCTGTTCTGTATCAAACACTATCGGAGAGAATACAAAATCAGATTGTTTGAACTGTTTCGGAGTATAATTATTCTCTCCGTCCAGTCGTGTGCTTTCAACCTGATGCTGATCATCAAATGTCGTCTTCAGGCTCTCTTCATTGATCCCGGTTAGATTCAGCTGTTTGTCTACCTCTGTATCCTCCGGCAGCTGTTTTGGTCCAAAAATGTCAAACATAAGATTTATTAATCGCTTGAGTTGCTCCTGTGCCTCTGTGATCGGTTTGACAAGGTCAGGGGAACGTCGCAGCTTTGCGGTCAAACGTTTTTCATCATTTTCTAAATGACCGATAATACTAAATATTTCATCCTTATTTAGGGTAGGCGTCCCTTGCATTTCGTCTCTTTCGTCCAGAGTATTGTTGGACGATTCAGGTTTGTTTGGTAGTTTGTAAACAACCACTTCTCCCGTGTCAATATCTCTTCTAAAAAAGGAAGGATTATTTCAAAGATCTAAAAAATATTTAATATTAATTCTTTAAAACTAAGATTTTGTGTCAAACCTTAGTATACTGTGCTCAAAAGCCTGCCCTTGATATCTCCAGAACTGTTCTTGATCAGTATCCTCGTTCAGCTGGATACCTGCATCATCCCATTCTAGATCTACTACACTCTCTCGACTCTTCAAGATATCATCCGTCGTGCGGACATCTTGTGCTTTCCGGAAGGATTTTTCGCGGGTTTTTCGAGGAGGCTTCTCGCGCTTCGGGGAGTTGTTTTTTTGTTCTTTCGATCTTATTTCAGAGGAATGGCTGTCTGATCCTGGAAATGAAATAATTATAGAAAATATGATTTTCTTTAAAGCTTTATAAATATTAAACTATAAATGACAGTTAGTGTTGTACTGGAGTTATCAATTCCAGATTCCAAATATTAAAATCTTTCAATAAACATGAAACTTATCAATTGTGCAGTGTTCACAGAATTTTTTTAAAAGACCTACAGAGTTCACTTCTTGCTTTATACCATCAGATACAAATAAGATTGCTCAATGTCGTCTTCATATTTCACAGATTTTTGGGTCGAACTGTATTATTTAGAAAAATGTGTATTAAAAAATTGTTACCTGAGCAGAATCCTGAAGAGGATGGAGATATCCTGTCATAAACTGGAGAATAACCTCCATCCTCCTCACTAGAGTAAGCAGCATGTCCTGGGTATTCTGGCTGACCGAGATGACCGGGGGGTAAGGTAGGATAACCGGGACGGAGAAGATGGTGACTGTTATGAATATCTCCACGAGGCATAGGAGAAGCATAGTCATGTTCATCCCGGGGAGAAACATTCTTACAGCCGGGTCTTCGAAGCGGTTTTCTCAGCGGCTCTTGGCGGGATAGAGTTCCCTCCCTCTGTTCTTTACGGGATAGTGTTCCCTCCCTCTGCTCCGGAATCTTGAAAAGCTGTTTATCTGCTGCTTGAATACTGTTCCTATACTGCTCAACCAGCTTCATTCCTTCATATTTATCAACGGTCAGCTTGCGGGTCAACTTCTTCCTAAACAGATATCTGTGTTATCACAATTAAAACATATCAGACATAAGTAAAGGGACTGTATAGGCGTAATTGTAAGTCACCCTGCATTTAGAGAGGAATACTTGAATAAAAACGGTACCCTTGAAACCTTGTACTGAGCAAAAATGAGGTTGATTATGTGATTTTTCTATTTGGAAAAGGGTTAAATTCTGGCAGTTTTTTTTTCAATAACATAATGTATAGAAAACCTCAAAAATAGTCATTTGTACTCAGACAAAGGTTGAAAGTGAATCGGACACACAATTTGAAAATAAGTCTAGAGTCCTTCTTATCATTTATAATTATATTGAGTAGTTTACTTACCTTTGTTTTAGAATAGCTTTTGGCTTGATTTTATTAACAAGCGTAGCGAGTACAGCTTTTAGTTGATCTCCACGCGAGGACGGATAACAATACTCCTAAATAGTTTAACAAAATATAAGCATTGAAGATTAGGCGGAGATTTTCTTTTAATATATTTTTCGAGGAAATGCATTCTCTGCCAAGAATTGGTTTTCTTTCACCGAGATGTAAATTCTCCTTCTCGGTCACTAACTAATAGAAGTAGAAACTGGAGAGTGGATTTTTACTTTTATAATTTTAAGCATGGAAATTTTTTGGAACAATTTGAGACGTGCGCATTAGAGACGACTCAGAACATCTGATTCTGCACTTTTCACTCTATTTCACTACACTTGTATTTTTTTAAAATCATTTGGCATGTCATTAAGGACTATATTCAAAACAGAAACGTTTAACGGAATTTTATGGGTAATATGATTGCATGCAGCTTGAAGACCTAATCTTAGGTTAGATTTATGCAAGACTTAGTATTCTATGGAATATCCTCACGCTGACTTAGTTTGGTTCTTTTTAAATAAAAATGTATAGATAACTCCGTAATCTTTTAAAGATAATTGAATTAAAGACCCACACGGGATTGAATACAAATTAAAAATACAAATGTTAACTATGTATATACCAGATCAACTTGTACAGGATGTTAACTATGTATCTACCAGATCTACCTGTACAGGATATTTACTATCTATCTACCAGATGAACCATATCTACCTGTACAGGATGTTAACTATGTATCTACCAGATCTACCTGTACAGGATGTTTACTATCTATCTACCAGATGAACCATATCTACCTGTACAGGATGTTAACTATGTATCTACCAGATCTACCTGTACAGGATGTTAACTATGTATCTACCAGATCTACCTGTACAGGATGTTAACTATGTATCTACCAGATCTACCTGTACAGGATGTTTAGGTCTGTGGCCTTTGCTTGATGCACCGGTAAAAAAGCAGCCCTGGCATAGATCATAATTCAGGCACTGTAAACACTGGTATCTGAACAATAATAAAATTTGAATTCATATTTTGTAAATATGCGCAGGAAGTTTAGATAATTTTACACTAAGGAAATGAATTCTTGCCACAAACTCTGATTATCTAATACCTATATCATTGCAACCCAATGGCAGAGACTTTTGATATTTACTGTAAATTATGTTAGATCCAATAGTCTAAGGTTGAAATATCAAAGGTTGACATCAACAGGTTGCAAAAAATTTGAGGTTGTGGTAAAGATTCAGTTCTCAATCTCGTGCGAAAAATAATTCATTTTTTTCAAGGATTTACCTGAGCCCAATGATCTCCCTTGAACAGGCTGAACAGCTGATACCATGCCGCACACCACTCCCAGACAGAAGCCGATAGGATGTCGTCATCCAAACCAGTTCAGGAGGGTCTCTACCTGCCCAGTATAACCAGGCTTCCTGGGTAACGCCCCTGCCACCACCTACCTGGAGGGCGGAGTGTACAGCTCCGCCAACTACTCCACTACCGAACATTACACCTTCTCCTAGTAGCTCCGGGATTCTGGAGAGTATTGAAAGCATGTAGGTCAACTCGGTCTGTCCAAGTATACCCTAAATAAAGATAAATTAACATGTATCTATGAGCCAAGCTAACCGTACAATCAATGTAGTTAGCTTTGAATTATGCATCTAAGTTTTGGTAAGCTAAAACAAAATCAGAGTTAGCTATACTAAGAGAACTAAGATAAGGTAATTAAACCATATATAAATTAGCCAGAACTAAGAATTGGTTAGCCAAAACAAAAATTAAGATTTATGAACCTAAAATCAAGTGAGTTTATTCTAATGTAAGGCTGACTGCTTATTTTGATCATTACTAAGATATTTAAATTGACAGAAAATTTGAAATTCTTAACGAGAGCTTAGGTACTTATTCATAAAACAAACAAGGAAATCCTATATTTTCTACATTTTAATATTAACTTTTTTAAATTATTTTTATTTAAAGCTCCGTAGTGCACTTAATATAAACTTATACCTTGTGTGCATGCTCTCTGAAGAGATAAACCAGTTTTTCTCTAAGGCGCGCGCGCGAGAAAACTGCTATTACAGTTTTCAAGCCAAGGCTGGTCACCCCACCCTGATGTGCAGGATCTAACAACTAGAAAATAAACAAACAATTAATCGATTTATCAAAACAAAACTAAATTAAAATTTTATTAAATTATTTCCAGTTATTTTTTCTTTAATCTAAAATTGGTAATATATTTTTTCATCATCCTGAAATCCTATTAAAAGTTCCATACGTTTTAGTTTCTAAAGACCCATGAAATAGAAATGTAAATGTTGATCAAATATTTATTCCAACATTTAGTTTGGAATGTTAAATTTGTTTATTCTTTATTAATTTCTTTAATTCTTGATTTGCACATGGTCAATTGTTATTAATTAAAATTATTAAGAAAGACGTTAATCTATATTCTTGCACCAACCTGCTCAATAAGGTTTGCCATTGCCTCAGAGTAAATGGTGGAGTTGAGTTGAAGAGTGGAGTTCCTAACTCCTCCAGCTGTATACAGATCATGAAGGATATCTCTAGATAGACAAGATCATGAATATACAGATCATGAAGGATATCTCTAGATAAAAAAGATCATGAATATACAGATCATGAAGGATATCTCTAGATAGACAAGATCATGAATATACAGATCATGAAGGATATCTCAAGATAAACAAGATCATGAATATATAGATCATGAAGAATATCTCTGGATAGACAAGATCATGAATATATAGATAATGAAGAATATCTCTAGTGAACAAGATCATGAATATATAGATCATGTAGGATATATCTGGATAGACAAGATCATAAATATATAGCAAATAAAGAATACAAAACTAACCACAAAACATCCGTTGTATTTAGATTTCTACTCTCCAATTATGGTAATTAAAACATTTCTCATTTTTAAAAATGAACGAATAAAAAAGAATCCAACTTTTTCTCGCTCAGAAATCAGGAAAGTAAGAGTAATGTGCAGGAAAATTATGCAAATTAATCATTAATTAATTACCTGATAAACTGACTGTCTAGAATTATACTCGGAGCAACTATCCCATGATGGGATGTTGTGCTGACCAGTAGGTTCAAGGAGATAGACAGGGTTCCCAACAACTAGATATTTATAAATATAATATATAGACAGGGTGCCCAACAACTAGATATTTATAAATATAATATATAGACAGGGTTCCCAACAATTAGATATTTATAAATATAATTTATAGACAGGGTGCCCAACAATTAGATATTTATAAATATAATATATAGACAGGGTTCCCAACAATTAGATATTTATAAATATAATATATAGACAGGGTGCCCAACAACTAGAAATTTTTAATATAATGCATAGACAGGGTGTGCAACAACTAGAAATTTATAAATAAAATGGATAGATAGGGTCCCCAACAATTAGATATTTATAAATAAAATGTATAGACGGGGTGCCCAACAATTAGATATTTATAAATAAAATGGATAGACAGGGTGCCCAACAACTAGGGCTGGGCAAAGTTTCGTTAACGAAACGGATGATTTCGAAATTTAACGGAAGAGTCCGTTAACGAACGGCAAAAACCATGAATTTTTAAATAGTTAACGAAAGAAAATTAACGGTTAAAAACGTTAACAAAAAAAGCTAAAAACGGTAAATTTCGTTGTTTTCTCATTAAATTGCTTGACATTTTTTAACTTAATTTTTTTTCGCGTTTTGATGTTTATAAAATGTCGTTTTCTGTGTTTTTAACCGTTGACTAAAGGAATTGAGTCTTTGCCACAAACTCTGCTTTTCTAAACCCTATCTTTGGTTTCCAATGTCGTAGACCTTAGATATTTCAAACTATGAATTCTGTTAGATCAAATAATATAAGTTTGAAATATCAAAGATTTACGACATTGGGTTCCAAAGAAATAGTGATTATAAATTAAAAGTTTGTGTTAAAGACTCAATTCCTTTGTTTCGCCTTTAATACTGTAATATAACGTTAATGATTTAAAAATTAAGGCTAAAAACAAATGATTTACAGTTTTAAAATATACAAGACTAGGGCTACAGAAGAGCATTTGTGAATTAGTCCAGTAAACTCAAGATCCAAAGCGTTGTGACAACTGAAAATCGATCAAGTCTTGAACATTGCTAAATTTAAGTGATATCTATTATCTTTATGTATTAAGTTGTAATCTTGTTTGTCTGTTTGTGTGTTTTGGTTTTGAAATTCTAAGTCGGTCGAAAATTTAGTTTCCCGGTAAAATTGACCAAGTGCGGGTAAACGGCGGGAGTAACTATGAGTAACTTGGAGGCTGGGGAGCGCCGGGCTCGCAAGTTATAACATATAGATACAAATACCATTATTTCAGATGATAAAAAAATTTACTTCTGATAAGGAGAGTAGTTTTGAGGATAATCTGTAAGCAGCGTATCTAATATTTACCTCTGACAAGGAGAGTAGTTTTGAGGATAATCTGTAAGCAGCGTATCTAATGTTGTCATATTTACACAGTGATTCCAACGCCAGAGTTAAACCAGGATGATCCCATCTAAAAACAAAGTATTTTATTTGATCAAGCTTTATGTTAATTATTTAATATTTTATTTCATTTTAATAAACATCATCTTTAACATGAAAATAAAGTTAAAAATACGAATTAAAAAATTATGATATAAAATTTGAGACATGAAAATATTTTTTTATAATTATCATTAAATATTTCCCACACAAAAAGATATCATTCTCATATTTCATTAACATGCAAGTCTTTCAAAATAATTTTTTTTAAAGTTTAGAAACACATTCATTGCACTTGTAGAAAAGATAAGCTATATTATCGTTATTTAATTAATAACACGTAAATATGTAAACACATTTCAATCTGAGATTTCTCCTGAAAAAAAAATTCAAATACACCTCCCCTCCTCTTTCTTTTGATCAAGGGGAAGTGAAGAAAGTGCACTTAACCTTAATATTGGCAATAAAAGAGGGCAATTGAATTAACTGCTTGACCAAGTCTTTAAATGGATGAATTACAATAGAAACGTCTATTAGACCTATGCTTCAATGCACTCTCTGTAATTCATACATATTTAAGCAAAATATTGGAATTAGTGATTAGTGAAGTTGGACGCTGGGGGGGGGGAGATTAGCTATTAGTGATTAGTGAAGTTGGAAGCTTGGGGGGGGGGAGAGATTAGCTATTAGTGACGACTATCTATTGTTTTTCTCTTACATTGAAGTTCCCTAATATTGATTTTTAAAGAGTTTTAGGTGGTCGTTAACTAATAATATCATTAAATCAGTTTTCAATTTAATCGACTATAAAATTGCAAAACAAGACTCAGCACCATAATAGACAATTGTAACTATTTAATGGTCTCTTAGTTGATGCTTTGATAAAACTTTTCTGAGAGGAAATCAAAGCTACTTTGCTACAGTGATTTGATTTTTGTGACTTATACATGACTTAAGATCATTTTGTTTTCATGCTCTAGTATATCCTAAAACAAGTAGGTTTACTAGTTAAATACATGCTATTTTGCATGTTATATTGAGATTCACATTTGATGTTTAAGTATTTAATGTCTGTAATATGCATGCGCTATAGAACGAATTATCTAAGGTTTGAGTAAAAAAGTTTGTTTAATGTTCACCTCTACATGAAACGATTTAATCCATATTATCGTGTTTGTTTAAGATAAGATTAAATAAAGTAGGGCCAGGGAGGCAGGTGACAAAAAGTTCAGCAGAAAAAGTAAGAAAAAAAAAACATATTGTTGACCATATTTTTTTTCAGTTGTTGAATGTTCAAAGATGGGGTTGAAAAAGGATCAAATGTGAAACTAAAAGGAATTGTTTAGTTCTAAACGTTAGGATTAAAAGTCCTTAACAGGGTTAATACACCTATTTGTGCAGATAAACATTATAAAATACAACAATATTTGGAATTAGAAACACAACGAGCACTTGAAGATTTATATTGTGTAAGAGAATAAATGTGGTATTTGATAATCTGTTTATCTCAATGTTTAAAATTTCAAATCCATCCCATGTTACTGGTGAGCTATATGAACCGTTATTGAGTGGTATCCTGGTATATATTTGTGGGATGGGTAACTTTAATTATTTCATGTTTATCCATACACGCCTCATAGCCTTCACAATATAAACAAAACTAGGAAGTAAATCCATTTTTAAATATCCCTTATTTGGTGGATTTTAGGTCAATTACAATAATAGTGTTTTTATGGTAGAAATTGCGTGTCAAGGTTTCTACAGTACTATACAGTAAGGTTAGATAGATTTAACCTTTCCTACTCATCTTCCCAGTATTATATACTTCCCCACCATTGTAATTTATATATTTGCATGTAAAAAGATAATGGATTGTCTAGCAGTTTTCACAGAAGGATCAACAAGAAAAGAAAAAACTGAGTATTTAAAGGTTCTTCCTGTTCTAACGCTGACATAAAAATAATAAAAGTAAATGTAAGGAGTTGTGAGCAAGAAAATGGCAAGCCTTAGCATTCTTTTCCAACAGAAAAAGAACTTCTACATTAATTTGTCTTAAAAAATTGCATCACATTAAGTTCGAGGTTTATCTTGGATAAGATATTTAAAGGGTTAGAGCTAGGATTAAATATCTTAAAGTTCAGGTTTCAGCTAGGATTAAATATCTTAAGGTTCAGGGGTCTGCTATGATTAAATATTTATAAGTTTACAGTTTTGATTGGATCAAATGGTGACAGTTCAAGGCACTGCCATCTGAAAACATCAGGGATTATGGAAGCTCTACTAAATTCGTACCGGTCCGATTCAATACTCGTACTGTACTGGGATTTATTGCGCCCCCATGATTGGCTACATTTCAATATTAGAGAAAAGTACGACATTTATAAAGTGATTAAAAACGTATCCGCCTGACTTGTCCTAAAACTTGGATTTACATGTAACTTGTTTGCAGTGTAGGGTATAATAAGATTAAATATTGCTCCGATAGGATTAAGTATCCAAAAGTCTAAAGGTCTCCTTGAATTTCACCTTGAGCTGAATTAAAGTGAGATAACAATTGATAATTTGTTTTAATTAATTATCAGATTAGATTCGTAATCAAGATTCAAACTCTTTTGTCTCTTGTAATTTGTCATGTACATTTGATGAAAGTATATTTTTATGTTAATTATAGATACGCATGAAACTTGAAATATCACGTTTGCACGTTTATTTTTTGAAATTTAAAGTAACTGTTCTCGAAAAATTAAAGGGGGTATAGGTTTACAGCGAAAAATAATCGCTTTTGATCCCTACTAATCCTACTTCTATCTTTTGCGTCTATAAGGAAAAAACTGTTAAAAACGACTTATACTGAAGAACGTAGTGTCCTTACTAATTCAGAAAATTGCAATATACAAACCGGATCGTAAAAAATCAAATTGATTTTAAACAAATCATTCAGATATTATACAACCTATAGTCATCGATTATTTTTCTATGCATTCGTAAATAGTTAATATTAAAAATTCGTTTTATTTACAATGCCTTAAAACGCCGAAATAGTTGGCCGCCAGATGTCTCAGCTCTCGATAGTTTGAATGATTAAAAGTGGCAGAGACACCTAGCGGAAAAAAGTTATTTTCAGAGCACTGTATATAAAAAATTAACAAATACTATGAAATATTAACCATATACGAATGCGTCGAAAAATAATCGATTACTTTAGGTTCTAATATCTGAATGATTTGTTTGAAATTAAATTGATTATTTTGCGTTGTGCGTCGTACATAGCAACTTTCTCAATTTGTATGGACTCTACGTTCTTTGGTTCAAGTCGTTTTTAACAATTTTCTCCTTATAGACGCAACAGATAGAGGTACGATTAGTAACGATCCAAAGTGCTTATTTTCACCGTAATCCTTACCTCCTTTCATTTTTCGTGAACACTCCCTTTGAAGAGACTATAGACGTAGCAATAAGTGGCTTTCCGTTTGTAAATGTGGCTTATCCGATTCACAACAATACTCTACCAAAGAGAAACCCCCAATCTGTGTAGCAGAGAGAAACCCCCAATCTGTGTACCAATGAGAACCCCTTAATCTGTGTACCAATGAGAAACCCCCAATCTGTGACTCAATGAGAAACCCCCAATCTGTGTACCAATGAGAAACCCCCAATCTGTGACTCAATGAGAAACCCCCAATCTGTGTACCAAAGTGAGATCCCTGATCTGTGTACCAAAGAGAAACCCCCAATCTGTGTACCAAAGAGAAACCCCCAATCTGTGTACCAAAGAGAAACCCCCAATCTGTGTACCAATGAGAAACCCCAAATCTGTGTACCAATGAGAAACCCCCAATCTGTGTACCAATGAGAAAACTCCAATCTGTGTACCAATGAGAAACCCCCAATCTGTGTACCAATGAGAACCCCTTAATCTATGAATCAATGACCCTTATCTGTGTAACAATGAGGAAGATATCGCTGTTTTCTATAAAATTTTCTCCCCATTTCTCTTCAATTTAAATACACACAATTGAAAATAATCAATTTTAAGTAAAACAAGATATCTCATTCATCTTTGACTAGACAAATGTTTCAAGGGTTGCGTTGTGAATATAACACGCCATTTTTACAAATGGAAGGTCACTTGATTTACGGTGAAAATCCTTAAACTTTCTCCATAAATGATGTAATACTGTTTGTAAAATGATGCTTGCTTAACGGAATTGAACGTAAATGCTATACAATAATTGAAGGAGCATTGACATACTATAATAATATGATGGAATAACTAGGCTCTGCTATACTCTGTTCTATAGTTGAGATAATCTCTTAATAGTAATAGATTAGAATAATCTTTAGACGTCAAATAGTCTTTTTAAGCTTTAAAAATTTCATAAACACAATATGTATTTAGCTTGCAAGGAAAACTGCTAACGTTAGAAAACAAAACACAAACAAAATAGAATGTTTTCAAGGTTTGTTTCAAGTTTTGGTTTCATTAATATATATGTAAAAATAAGAATTATAAATATTGTTAGAACGGATATGGAAAAGATAAATAGTTAGATAGATAGTTAGATAAAAATAAATAGAGATAATTGAAAAAGAAAATTAAACGTACAGATATAGTAAGAAAAGAAAATTGATGTGCAATTTTCTAAATAAGAAGATGAATAAATTGATAAAAAAGTTAGATTATAGCAAGAAAAGTAAATAGATAGATAGCTTGATAAAAAGAAAGTTAGATAGATAAATATTTAGATTAATAGTTATATAGAGAGATAGATAAGATAGAAATGTTTAGATAAAGGAGATTATATAGGAATGAAATATTTGAGAGCTCTGACAATGAAACCATGCAGAGAGAGCCAGAGAAAGGGACGTACCGACTCACAGCAGACAGACATACAGACAGACAGACAGAATTAGAAACAGATAGACGAGAATAGCTTAATGTTTAATTTCCTTCTTCAAGGGGCTGTGGACTTCCCACCCCCCCCCCCCACCCCACCATGGTATGTCCAATTCACAAGTTTACTCTTTAAA